GAAAAAAGAAATAAAAACAAATCGAACGTATCGAATGTTTTAAACAATAATGACAACAAATGGAGCAACGTAGTGAATGGAATAGAATGCAGAAGTTTGCTTCCACATGGTGTAGAGGGCAGCCATCCCGATGAAGCTACAATATCGCTATGCGTGAAAAAAAAATCCCCACTCAGCGCTAACAAACATAGCGGGAAAATAACCCCCACTGGAAGCGGCGAAAATGCTGTGTCCATCGAAACATCTCACAAGAAAGAACTTTCTCAAGGAGCAAGACAAAAGAACGTACAAGAAAAAGCTATTCCATTTTTCACATCCCCCGTTCTAAAGCCTGAGTGGAAAAGCGACAAGTGCACAGACCATCTAAATGGCCACTCCTCCGTTGTCAATCACACACATAATGACGGACAGCACCCATTCTACATGGCCAAAGGCAAAAATTACGCCTTGAAGAAAAGGCATGAAAATATATTGCTGAGCGACAAGGAGGAGGTAATATATGTGAATAATCGAAATGGGGGTGGACTGTGGGGAGAGAAGAAAACGGGTGGGGTGTTTCAGGATGAGGAGGGGAAAATGGTAAGCAATACAGAAGGGATAAGCATAAGGAGAAACCAAGGGAGTACAGAACGAAGCAGTGCAGGCAATGACGCAAACGATGTGGTGAGCACTACGCCAAATGTTGTATCAAGCGATGGTCTCTGCAACGTGGACAGTGCAAACATTAATCTCTTTCCTCCAAATGACCTGAACGATTTGATGAGCACAGGCGCGAGGGGGAAAAACAACCCACACACAAACAGCCCTGGCGTTTACACCAACGGAAACCTGACACATAACGAAAGAGGCTACTCACATGGCAGCCATAAGACACACGAACATTTTATGAACCATGTAAGAATAAGCCGTCACGATAAGCCCATTGTGTACGACATGAAGGAAGAACAAACATTTGGTGATTCGAATGACAAGAAGGAATGTCTCCCCATATATGATGTGAACCCATTTAATGCACTAAAGCATGTTGCCACAGGGGCCCCTGGATTGGGCAGAAACCACGTAGGACAAAATGGCTTCCTCCCACGCAGCGATGTTGTAGAGACGACGAAGAAGGATAGGACAAGAAAAGACAATACCGCTGAATGTTTATCTAGTGTGCATACCAGGTGGGGCACCTGTGAGGGAACCTTTAAAATGAATGAGGACGACGAAATTGTGAATGTGACAGAAAGCAAAAAAGACGAGATGAAAAGGGATTCACATGACTGCATTACTTCCCTTTTGCACACCCAAAGTGGAAGCGTAGAAAATGGGTGCATATTAAACCATTCGTTTGGAAAGGAAAATTGCGACCACGTGAACCTCCTGAATGGAGCCAAACGAGATGGGTGTGTATCTTATATGGAAGGAATGAATAATTTGTATGATGGGAGCGAGACACATATTTGGGGAGGCATAAGTTTGTCACGGTACCCGCATGAAGGGAACGAAGACCCTCTGCTTGCTTCGAAAAAGGATAGCAGCTTTAACAAAATGAATGGAACTGCCCATCGGGGGGAAGACAAGGCCATGTGTCACTCCGTGTCTGAAGGAGCATCTGATACAAACGAAAAGTCAACTCAGAAAAGTTGCGCTTCCCCCTCTCATCATAAAGGCCCCCCTCTACACACAAAGAGAGAGCAACTTCAAAATTGTGAAGTCAGCAAGGAGAAAACACCTGCGGAAAATAAGTCCATTTTTAATTACCACTCAGAATGGATAAACCATTTAGAGAAAGGAAGGGAAAAAATGAGCGACGGGGAAAGGTACAACCTGGGCAACGTTTACAAAGACAGCGCACTGAAGAATAAGAATGCATGGTTCGAGAATAACCTACATAGTAATGCCCCACTTTTTCACCCCCACGAAAAAATGCACTCATCAGAAGTTACACCTAAAGTGGGAACAACAGGGAAGTTGCTCCACCTGGGGAAGGAAGGAAACGCACACATACACTCTGACACAAGAGAGTCTAAAGAAGTCATCACAAATGGGGTCATTACAGAAAAAAAAAAAAAAAATTTTTTTGAATACACCCAAATGATGCATCCTTTGCGGGGGGAACAGACGAAAGAGCAGAGCTATGCACATCCCCATGTGAGTTTAATAGATGATACTTTAAGTAGCAAACGAGTGTCTCCCAAATGGCAAGGAACAAAGACGAGAGGAACAAACAGCAGGTGTGATCAAATCGGTGCAGAAGAAGTGACCAACGAGGAAAATGAAAAAATTCCCCAGGACAACTCTCCTTTTTGTGCTAATGGAAATGGGCCACATTATCAGAGCACTGTTGATGCAAAGGAAGAGTCTACTTATGGAAACGTCTCAACATGGGAAGAGGACAACCGAAACGAAATAGAATATTTGTCCAAGTGGATTCCTGAGGCAAATAACCTCAAAGGGGGGCTTAATTTTGTACATACCTACTCTATCCCCGGGAGTGAGCAAAGCTTGAAAAGAAAGAGCGAAGAAGTTTTAAATCGAAAAATGGCTAACCAGCTAGCCAATGGGGTGCACCCAAATGGTCATAATGAAAACTTTGTTCTGGAAAGCTATTGTTATGGGGCACATACACATAGGAGTGAATATTCTAATATCACTCCTTTCGGCAGTGCTCTTTTCGGGGTGACCCCTTCCATTTGCAGTAGAGGCAATGACCAGGTGAAGACTTGCAGCCTCATCACCGTAGAAGGAGAAAATTTGAGCAGTCTTGCCAATGAAAGAATCTCAGAAGATGTGAGGAAGGTGTGCGAGGTCTCGTACAACCAGGACGGACGACATAATGAAACGGTGAACAGCAACGACAGTCCTAATGTACTCGCAGGAAATAATCCTCCGAACGCTGCATCCCCCATAGGGAGTAACGAACAGGGAAGAGATGTTCGCAGTGGTGCAAATGTAAACTACCTGCACAGTTCAGACGAAAAAGGAGATGATGTTCCCAAATTGGAAATTAAGCATGGACGCAATTTGTGCGGTGATGCGAATGACATAGCTGGTGCGGTTGACGCGGTTGATGAGGCTGATGAAGAGGTGTCCAGATTGGTGGAAGACCTCCCCTTCGGAAGAGACAAAAAGGAGGTCGCTGAAGAGCGCGAGGATGCAAGTAAAGACACGGGTATCAATATTGATGCTGACTCAGTCGTGCAGAGATGTGCATACAGACGCGACAATGACGCCTTACAGGGGGAGGAAGACCTCCTCGGAGGAATGACAAAAAAACAGGGCGGTGCCAGCGTCGACCCGCACAACGACTACAGGTGGAAGTTGTGTTATGTAAGATACCCTGAACACGTAAATTTCAAAAAGGCCTTTTTCTTTACCTTCCAAAATGACATATACATTTATGGGGCACGCAAAAATAACTTCGTCATTCCGGATGTGCTATTTCGGATCCGTGAGAATGAAGTGGAATCTGTTGACACTAGAGGGACCGCTCCCAAGTTGTATGTCAAGGTTTACTTTGCGGTCGAGGAGGGGGACATGAGTGGCGGTTCTAACAGGAGTTGTCATGGCTTGGGGGGGATTCGAGAATCGCGCAAGAGTTTCTACATATGGGGGGCCAACGAAAAGAGGCAACTGGACCTGTACACTGTGTACAGACTAGACTTGTGCCGCCTCGAGTGGCAGGAGATAAAAATCACTTATAACAGAAATCTGAACACGTTCAGGGAAGATTTTTCGCTCATCTTGATTAAGGATTGCTTGTACATGTATGGAGGCGTTGTGTTGAAGGATGGGCAGTGGGTATGCTGTGATGAATTATGGGTGTGTGACACGGGTAGGAGGAAGTGGGAGATGATAAGGGTGGGGGGAGGAGACACGCATAAGCGCGACGCTACTACTCAGCAAGGAAACTTATTTTTCAGCCTTCCCGCAACCAACTCGGTTAAACTTTTTACCAATACAGACAAATCACCTTCAAAGAGTAGCCTTCTTGAAGAGGAGGGGAAGAGCAATGAAAGTGATAAAGGAAAGGATGAACATGGGGAAGGAAGTCTGAAGAAGCCAACTACCACATGTTATGAGGAAAAGCAACCCAGCAGAAGAGCAGGCCATCTTTGCGTTGTCTACAAAAACAGAATGTACATTCACGGTGGAACTAATTTGAATGAAGAGAAATCAGATTTGTATTTTTTCGATTTTGCAAAAAATAAATGGTTCGAGGTTATACCAGGTGGAGAGGTGGTCCCGTCCAAGAGGTATGGCCACTGCGGACTTGTGATAAAAAACAAACTGTACATCTATGGTGGGTTCACAAAAAGACTCCATGGCAACTCCCTCCACAATGATGTATTCGAGTATGATTTTCTGAAGAACACATGGAGGCAGGTCTTCACCATTGGGGATTTAATTTACCTGAAGAATTGTCTTAATGGAAAGGAGCAGGCTTATCTCAGTTACCTCCGATTCGTGAAGTTGCTTGTGATGAGGAGGTACTTCAAAAGTGCAACCCTAAGTGGTTTTTCAAATGTGGGTGAAGGTGAAAAGGAGTTGGGTGGCAACTCTCCTGGGGACAAAACACAAACGGGAAGAGAAGAAGGGATATCCATTGGGAAGACAAAAAATGCTGCTACGTCTTCACTTCTTATAGAAGACCCACATGGGAAGGTTTATGCAAACTACGTACACATCGAAGAAACCCTTCATACAAGCGAAGCCATCATACCGCAAAATATGTTCAGAAACAGGTGCCTCTACTTTAATGGCTCTCTGTACCTCCTTGGGGGATGCGGGCTAGACAATCATTTAGAAAAAAGTGAGGAGAACAACTTCTTCCTCCACTATGAAAGTATTTTTAAAATGAAAATTGGCGAATCATATGTTCGCTGCTGTGCAAATTATTTGTCCCACGTGGATAATTTTTTTTGGGACCTCATAGGAAAGGAGGAGATGGCGCTACATCAGTGGGTGCGGGGGGAAGGCAACGTAAAAGAGGGCGCTGCTTCTGAACACCTACCAAATATTCACAACGACTTTGATGATTTGTGGAGCCAACTGAATGGGGACAACGAGACGTGCGTAAACTCTGAAGACGCATACCCAAAGGATGCACCCCTTGCTATTAAACAAATTGACCACATGTTAAAACAAATTTGTACGGGTTTTCTGTCGGGGGGGTTTAGCGAGGGAAGCAACCTCGAGCGAAGCAACCTCGAGGGGGGAGACATGACGGAGGACACATCAACAAAAGCGAAGATGGTACCCTCACCAATGACGGGCGAAGCAAGCAGCAATTTGGGGGACTCCTTTTCGCTCTGCCAAGGGGAAAAAATGTGCCAGCTGCTTACCTGGCTGGTCGACCTATATCACAATGATGTCTCGGCTGAAGAAGTGGCCACGGCCACTGTTAGCGAGCGAGGGCAGTGCCGTGTGTCGAACCTTTTGCTGGAAAAGGGGCCTACTGTGGGGCAACAGTCGGATTCCCCCTCGCCTGACTTGTCCGTGAAAGGCGGTGAAGACCATATTGGCAGTTTGGGGGTGAACGCATTTAACACGCCCAGTGAGGTGGAAGGCTTCCCAAGAGAAAGGAAAGAGGGCGAGCTGCGTCACCCTTGCGACCTGAACGAGGCCACAAATGCGCAGGCAGAGGAAGGTCCTAAAGAATGGGGTCTACATGGAGACTGTTTCCACGAAAGAACATTTCCACCTGATCAATTTGAACAAATGGACAGCAGAAGATATAGTGCACCCCTTGAAGAAGCATCGAAAGAGGATTCTCTGGGGAAGCGCCCCTGTGGAGAGCTCCCCACAGAAAGGCCTGATGCGCACTATAACAACCCCCAGAACAAGAATGATGAGAAAGACGCAAGGAAAAAAGTACAAACAAGTAATCATTACCGAGGGGGACACAGAGAAGGTGTAGGTTCTGTCCCCCCAGAGGAAAATGACAATGCGCATGATCAACATCAACATGTGTGTGATAAGAACGATTTGCGTTTTAGAATAGGTGGAAAAAGGGGTGACAATTTTCAGGAGCAGAAAGATCTTACCAGCTTAGGGGAAGACGAAAGAGGGGGGGTAAGAGAATTTTCGAAGCACCTTAGAGCAAACAATTACCTCATCCCAGATTACCCAAACACCAATCACATATATTTAAACATGGAAAAGTCAATCATTTACAATTACTTAGAACAGTTTAACGACCTGACCGATGACAGGTATTCCATTAAAATGAAAATCAGGAGAAACGAAATTTACAAGCTCATTTATACTTATACAAAAAGTGTGGAAATTCAAAACAGTGTCTGCTTTAAGATGCTAGAGGAGTTGGAAGGTCAAGCTAAGCAGCTGCTAGCTGAGAGGGAACATCATAGGACTGGTGTAACTAAAATGGGCAATGGGGGAGGAGATGGTTTTGAGTCATCTGAAGGGGGACAATCCAAATGCACGCATCACCTCCCATTCAGCGAAGACAACTTCGAGTCCTTGCAAAATGAACATGGGCACTTGAAAAAAAAAATGAAATACTTTTGTGACATGGCCAATATATACTCCATCAAAATGAATAAGTTAATTTTGTACATTAGGATCCTGGAGCAGAAGTACGAGTACGTGATGAACTGGCTGCTCAAGTTGAAGTCTGTTTTGTTTAGGGAGGTCGTTGCTGGGGACGCGTGCAACCACTTGTCGAACCACTTGCCGAATCATTTGCCTAGCCATTTCGCCCGCCACGTCAACGACCAATACCCTGACCACTTGGGGAAATTCTTCGCCGAAGACACCTTCTTCGTGCATGAGCAGAATGCTAATTTATCCACGTGCGATTTTGGCAAGCGCGCAAGTGATGATGGTAACAATGGCGGCCAGCTCAATTTAGGGAGTTTCCTCTGAATAATGCGCCTCTGGGGGGGAAGGGCCAACCCCAACGTGGATTGCGACGTGCCTTTGTTCTCCTCAAATGGGGTATTCACGGGGAGAGGGGCGGTCACACCCCGCGCTTGCATTAAGAAGGTACACACATTCCATATGACAACAAAACATGGTAAGTAAGCTGTGCGCAGCAAACGCGTCTTGTCTTTACGCGACATTTAAATGTACTTCCTAGACACACACCCCTTGTTCAAGTGCTCCGTGGGAAACCCAAACTATTATGAGTGTTCACATTCCGTGGATCGCTACCCCCCAAAGGTATCACTGATTGATGCCAAAACGAAATTCTCAGTTTTTTCCACCGAGAACCTCGGTCTTAATGACCACAACTACATTTAAAAAAAAATTTAGAAAATATTTTTATCCCGCATTGCCCCCCCCTTTCTACATATTCACGCGTGCTCAAAAGTAAAAGCGTTTTGTACCTTGTGGGGGATGGATTACATGGTCACATTTTTGTTAAACCGCAGGGGTGAGGCAATACACAAGGTTAGTGTACCTTTTATCGGTTAGGCGTTACATTTTATCGGTTAACCGTGGGAAAGGGGGAATTTTTTTTTTTTTTTCACCCATGAGTGTGCAAACATATGTACATAACCCTTGCAAGACTGGCGGGACATCTGATCTTTCCCGTTTTTCTCACACCTTAACGCAAAAATTAGACACTTCTATTCCGGACTGCTTGGGACAGGGGCGAAAATGACCCAAGAGTTATTTCATAATTGTGAGAAAAAGATGAGACAACCCAAACCGTACGTAACGAAAAAAATAAAATAAAATGTAGAGATAACTGCGATTGTGTGAATGGGTAGGGTTATACAAGTGCGGAGTCCCCAAACCGGATGTAAACCTCTGATTACGGCGTTGTTAAAAAAGGGGAGTGAACCTTGGGCAGCAATTTTCAAAAAACATCACAGTTGAAGTGGTACGATGTGATATTCCGCAGCAGGAGAATGTGGGCATAATGAGTTGGTGAGTTTATTCAAATGGGTGATTTGCACAAAGGGATATGAGGACTATTTGCGATGGGCTAACCATATCACTTTGTTTTACCCCCCTCCGCATGATGTCATTTATCTTGTGTACTCCTTCCCCTATCCTTTTTTTTACGTCGAATAGGCCGCCGTACAATCGTGCAGCCACAGCATGGGGACTTTGTGACGCCTCTTCTGGTCTTCATTGTTTAAAAAATCTTCCAAGTTGTGCTACAAAGGGGGGGGAGGTGGTAAAAAAAAAAAAAAGGAGAAATTTCTTACAATTCAGTTATCTTGCTTTTTATGTTACCTCATATTGGGGATAACTTTGCACACAGTGTTGAATCGCCTTCTCAGATTTGCTCAATTTTGTAACCTTGCCGATCGTGTCCAAATCGCTCTGTAGAAGGTGTAGGGAAAGGAAAAAATGCAGCTCCTCCTTTTTCTGTTTCAAAAGGGGGTAAAGTGTGCATGTGTGTGGTGTACCATATATGGACAAATGTGTTACACATATGCACGTGGGCGAGACATCACTTGGGGGACGTAACCCATACGCGCCACTTAGCGCAGCATTCTGTTTGTTACCAGCTCTGCGAAGCGTGAGCTGCACTTGGGTGTTATTTTCTGCGGCATTATGGGAGGGTGAAAGGGGAGCAAGTCACCATGTGGGACATCACCATGTGAGAAACTGCGCCGAGGAGTATGTTCCATGTGGAGGAGGTGCCGCCCTCGCCAGGCTATCCATGCCTGCCCACTCATTGTTGCTGCCACTTCTTTACCCAAATTGCAAAGTTAAAGGGGGCCTTGTCTCCGCATGCCCATTTGCTCATCCTGTTTTGGCTGCCTAAATTTTTATAGCTCTGCGTCCTGGAAAGCCTTTTCCTGATCCCCTTTTCTTTGTGCTCGTAGCAGAAGTTGTCACTGTTCACGCTGCAGGAGAGAGGCAAACGGGTGAGCAAAGGAAGGGTGTAAAAAAAAAAAAAAAAACGGGGGGGAAGGACGATAATGCAAAATCGGTCTTTTTCTTATGTACTCATTTTCCCCTTCGAACAGAATAAACTGCCCAGTATTCGACTGTTCCTCCATGTTTCCCTTGGCAGTTTTAATTGTTTTGATTTAAAGAGAAGTTGCGAGGAATTATAAGACTCACTCCACATTCCTTATCATGCGTTTTTTTTTTTTATCGCACTTCTTCGAGACTAAATGTCTACAACGTTGTTGTCTCCATTTGGTTTATATTTCACCTCAACAGTTTTGAAAAAAAAAAAAATTATTTTCCAGCTAGCCAAAATAATGGCACAAAAAAAAAAAAAAAAAAAAAAAAAAAAAAAAAAAAAAAAAAAAAAAAAAAAAAAAAAAAGGGAAAAAAAAAAAAAAAAAAAAAAAAAAAATAGCGAAAAAATAAGCAAATAAATTAGCAAAATGTGGTAGCAAATAAATAATTACTCAAATGCACGAGCAGCCAACAGTAAGAACGAACAAAGCTGAACTCGCATGAGGGGGGAGAGGGAACAAATCTGCCGTAAATTTATGCCACGCGGGGGGGCTCCCCTACAACATCAAGCGGCATGCACACTTCAGCAAATGGCCACATAAAAAATACAAACTGGCACAAAAATGGCAAATGCTCGTTGGGTTATTCCTCGCATGACCTTATGGCAACTCTGAGCAGCACACAACATGAAAGCAGGTGCAAGACGTGTCCCCATGAACGGAAAAAAGGAATGAAGTAAAAAGCGTTAATTTTAAAAAAATTCATCACCTATGTCGTGTTCGCCCAAATCTGCGCCGTGGCAAACACGTGACGCACATTATCACATTATCAATATGAGGGAGCGGGTCAGAATATGTCGGGCGTGTCCGTGAAGAGCCCCTTCTCCTTCGCGACCCAGTACTCATTGTTGAAGAGGTACATATCCCTGTCCTTATAAATGGGGTCCTTATGCTTGTAAAACCATTTTGGTTTGTAGGAGTCTTTCCCTGTATATTTCTTCGAGTTCATTCTTTGTTTGTTTTCAAGTCTCTGTTTTTCACTCATGGCAATTTCGATATTTCCATTTTCATAACTCCTCTGATCAGGTCTAAATCTGCTGTCCGTACACGCAATAGCTGCCCCCTTGGACGGATCATATTCAGGAGTTATTTCGTTCAATTCCACGGTCATATTATTAAACCCGTAATATAATTCACTGTGTTTGGGCCTTTTGGAGGCCCTCCACACACACACTCCATTTAGGAGATCCACGTTGTTCTCATAAAATTGCCAATCCACATTTGCAATAAATTCATTCAAAGCATTTCTGTTAAAGTGGTTAATATTTTCTGACCCATCGGCATTGAAAAAGTATGAATCATATACCTGTTTTTTTAAATGCTTTACATAAGCTATGTTAATTTCTTGTGACCACTTTCCGTATATATAAAAAATTATATTTTTGTATCGATCACATACAACTCCTCTTACCTTGTGAATTTCGTTGTCAAACCATCCCTTGCGAATGTACCTGACGATGGAGAAATCTCCATTGTTGTGGTTTCTTATGAGGATATTTCCATGGAGCTCCACCCACAACTTTCCAAATATTATGTTGTGGATTATCATGTTGGCTCTTTGGTACGTGTAATGCTCCTGGCCGCACTCGGGGGCGTCTACGCCTGGCAAAGGGGCACTTCTCCGCGGGTCGCCTCTATGTGTGTCACCTCTATACAGACTATTTTTGCCATGTGCACAGTGTGTGCTATGCGTACCTCTGTCCTGGATGTTTGTCTTGGTTGAGGAGCAAGTGGGCACTTCACATGCGTCTAGGTTAACATCCTGCTCGGAACCAAAAAAATGATTCTCATCCAAAGGTGCACATTGCTTTGTGTGTCTTTCCCTCCCCGTTGGAGAATTTTCCCTCTTGTTATACCTAAGGATGAGGTGACTGGACCCTGGAATTGTGATTTCAACTGACTTGCCCAAAATTTGTACATTGACGCCTATGCTGGCAAAATTTGTCATGTACTCATTGTGGCAGTGGTATGCAGTGATAGGGGGGTGGTGAACTACCTGCTCCGATACGAAGAAGAATTTCCTGTGAGTCAACTCGTACGTTTCACCTAACAAGGGATTGAATGGCTTAAACGTTCGCCCGATGACAGAAGCGTAGGGAGATATGGTAAAGGCTGTCACGTATGCAAGTCTACTAGTACTTTCGACCTCTCTGGAGGCGCGCTGGAGTAGATACACATATTGGAAATCTTCTGCCAGCCTTTGCAAAAATGAAAAGGGTTCATTCAGATAAATGGGCATCCCTATGCGGGACAGATCCTTCCCTATGCAGTCCTTCAGCAGGGACCACATGCTAATTTTGATGTCCGTTCGTGGACTTGGTAGTGTGGTCCTCCTCTTAATTTTGTTGTCCGTGTATATGTCGATTTGGTTAAAATTTAGGGACTTGATATTTCCTTCTGTGCACAGTTGGACTAATTGCAGGTCGTTATCCTTCGCCTCGTCCATGTGGTTCGCAGTGTCTATGTCGTGAACATGGCCCATTTCGTTCGTGTGTGTATCCACCTGGCATAGGTCCTCTGCTGTGTTTCCCTTTTTTGCTGCATTATCATGGAGTGTTGATGGATGGGTGGGTGACCCTTCCGGGGAGGGCGCTTTGTCCTCTTCTTCTGCTTCCTGTTGCTGCTCCGATTTGTTGCTCCCTTCGGGTGATCCTCCAAGGGGAAGACGTTTAGGGGAAATTCCCCCATAGTCGGCATGTCCCTGTTTTCCCCTTTCTGGTGTGCTTGTCGCGGGGGCCTCTTCGATGGAGAGCGGGTCACCAGATATAGGAACATTGGAGAGCACATTTTCCTCCTCACAAAGCGATTCATCATCGCAGTCAAAAAACAAATCCTCATTTTCTTCCTCCTCACTCTCCTGATCATTTACGTACAAATTAAATTTCTCCAAGTGATTTCTTACCTTATCCTGTAAGTCACTAAAGCTTTTTTTGTCTTGCGATTTCTCTAGGAAATAATTTTGTTTCGCTAATAATTTCAATGACTTGTTCATACATTTCAACTGCACGTTTTCCTCCTTCAAGAGCATCTCGGTGCAGTTGATGTATTTCTCAATAACAGCATCCATGCAGTCGATTGAGTTGGACAGTTGGTAGAGCACAGGCCCCACCTCATCACAGTTCACTTTGTAGTTGGGGTCCAATTTGATTTTCTTCAAAATGGAATTGGCTTCATTGAGTTGTGAATTTTTTATCAAGTCTCTCGTAATTTCCTTTAACGAAACAATATTTTCCATAAGACAGAGAGTTGGACTCTTGTCTTCAAAATCGGTGGAGCTAATGAATACATCATCTAGGTTAATGTTTTTCATTCCATGCGTTTTTAAAGTACCTTCCTCATGGTCGAATGCGACACAGGATGAAGTTTTGTCTAACTTGCCTGTCTGTTCTGTCTTCCCACTTGGAGAGTTCACCACGTGTCCCTCCCCACTGGCGTGGCTCTTCTTCACCCCCCTCTTCTCTTCACCAACGGAGCTGATTGTTCTACTCTTATACAAATCATTTGTGTTGTTTATAATTTTTAATATAAAATCAGAGTTTGTGGTTACATTAAAATTGTTCACGCCTATGTACCCTTTCTTATTATGTCTTCCGTGTAGGTAACTGAGTTGAGCTTTTTTAAAAGATATGTACCATTTGTGTTTGTCTTCCGGGAAGTCTGCCTTTAAATAAAGGACACCTTGCTCAGTGGTATCAATTTCAAAGTGCAGTGGGTCATCAGGACATACTTTTATTTTGCACTGCGACAAGCCAAAGGTTTCCTTCGTGGGAGAAAATTTATCTATGGAGTATCTTAATATGCCATTTTCCAATACGAAGTATCTGGGCCTGTAACTGCCAATGATGTTCGTCCACTTGTTTAGCCACCCCTCGTGAATTATTCTCTTGTCTCTGTTATACTTGTGGGCATGGCCTCCCCCATCATTTTGCGCGCTGCTGCTGTGGCTGCCTCGGGATTTTTCTGCACTCGTACTCGCAAGGGAATTTTTTTTGTCGCTGAACAATTTCAGGTTCAGATATTTCCCGCCCAGCATGATTTATGTGGGGATGAGCTGTACAGGTGTGTGCGGTTGCGTTTGACTCGCTGCTTCACCCCCCGCCCCCCTTCAGACCCCTTGTCCCCTCACACACTTTGCCAGCGGCACTCCTGTGCATCACTCGAAAGGAGATGCGCACAGCCAGCCGCGTTCTCACAGTGTCCTAACTAGAACAAGTATATATTGCGCGAAATAAAAAAAAAAATCATGTGTCTGTCCTTTTTACTTCCATAGAATGGGCAAAAGGCCCCTCATCAAGTTGTGTCTAGGGAACTATGTCTTGTGGGGCGACGATAGTTTTCCCCCTTTCGGTGTGTGTGTGGCATACGTAAAGTTGCCAATGCCACTCGCCAGTTGTTCGATGTACGCAAGTAAGTCAGCGGCTAATCAGCGGTGTACAAAAACGAAGCCACGAGGACAGCGTGCACATGTAACAGGCGTGGAAAAAAAAAAAAACAAATTGGGCATAAAAAAAAAAAAGTGCAGAAACAAAATAGGATGAGAAAATGAGGCAGAGTAACTCCTAGGCTGTTCCTTTTTTGCAATCTGTTTTGGAACACATCCGGAAAAGAAATGTGAACAGAAGGCAGGACAAAGATCAGCGGAGGGCGGGGGAAGGAGAGAGGGGGAGTGCAAAAATGTGGCTACGAAAAATTGCTGACGTATTCGCATACATATATATGTATATATATAAATATACACAAGCGGGGGAAAAAAAAAAATAAACCCAAACAAACATAAACACACTGAGGAACGAATGAGTAAAAAACATAATCACTAAACGAACAACCCTTTTTTTCTGACACTACATTTAAAATGCGAACATGAAAGCAATTCTTTCGAAGGCCCGCAAATATAACTGGAAGGAAATTTGCCCACGCGTCGGGAAAAATTACACCACACGAGGCGATGCAAAGTGAAGCAAAACATACAGGGAAGAACTCGAATGAAGGCGGTGGGCAATGGTGGAGCGCTTCATAACCGATGAAGGGGAAAAACTCACCCCCGGAGGGGTGAAGTGGCAACAGCAAATATGAAAAAGCGGTCTTTCCCCAGGAAGCCGAACGGAAGCTCCAAGAGGGCGCAGTGTTCGCGTTGTTAAAAAAAAAAGAAAACAAAAAAATATGGTCCTTTTCTTTGTGTGGGTTGGTTTTCTCGGCTGTGCAGTCCATCTTACGCATAGTGGACCATCGGCGGGTCTTCTTAACCCCCCCCCCCTTTATCGCAAAGCTTAACTCGCATTTGCAATAACTTTAAAATTGTCCCTTTTCCGTCACCGCGACAACTTCAACGAGGGAGAAACCCCTGTCTGCCTTAAACTTTTTTCCACATCACGCGAGTTGGCATAGCTACACACCTTTACAATTCAATCAGAGCGCAAACATCTTAACCATGTTGACAAAAGAGGAAAAAAAGAATTTACATAGTCCCCCCCTCCCGCTCCATAAAAATTCAAGGGTACCAAAACAACATCAGCAGTTGGACAAAAAAAAAAAGTAAAAGGATAAAATAGCTGTTAATAAGGCATGGTTGGGAAAATATAATCCCGCCCTCCGCCTTACCACTGCCTCTCCCTGGCGTTGAAACGAGGTATACGCAGCACTTGTGACGATCCAATTTATGTGTTAATTGGAGACGCGAGGAGGGGTACGTGAGCCAATATGTGTGGCTTTATTACATGCCTGTGGTTATATGTACATGTGTACATATGTAGACATTGCGGTCATGGAGATATGCTGACCCGGTGGGCGAGAGCGCGCTGGCGCGTCGGGCGGATGCCCCCCTTAAAGCCGTTTTTCAAAACTGACTTGGGCTGTGGCCCCTTCGCAATTATGTCTCGGAGGTAAGTCTTGGTGAGCCTCCTATATCGATTCGAGGCTGTCCTGACGTAAAAGAAACTGGGGCATATTGGGGACAGGCGATTCGAGCAACTATTTTTGCTGTCCCGAAATTTCTTTATTTTACAGTACATAATAAAAAAAAAAAAAGAAAAAATAATCAACGATGGGACAATAGCTGCTATGAAGAGAACAACATAGTGGTATTTAAAATGCCTGCAAATGGTACAATTAATTAATGCGGGAATTTCTTTTTTTCTATCAACAAGAGAATATAACACATTAAAGTAGGCAGTTTTATTTATCTGTTTAATTATTTCCTTGGTGGATACATAAGCCAAATTTTGTGTGTGTTTTTTTTTTGAATACAATTTTATGTGTGCAACAGTTTCTTCCGATTTCATTTTTATAATGACGTTGCTTATTAAGTTGTTGTCAATGCCTTCACCAAATTGACCCACCACTTTTATAATGTCTGTGTGTTTATGTTTTATACATGCTCCGTAGAAATGGAGTGAATACAGGGCATTAAATTCTTTTGTATATTTGAAAAGAAATTTTTGTACATGCTTAAAGCTAAATTTGACCTTCCCCTTTATCTGTAGGAATAAGTGCAACGATATATCTTCATATTTTTTTTCTTCATCTTTTATTTGAGCATTTTTGTCGTAACCGAACAGATATTTTGCCATGACCAAACTTGGCCTTGTGTAGTACATCCCTAATTTTTCATTATACAAAAAATGGTCTATCAAAATGTTATACACATTTTCTATGGTCAGTTGGACTTCGCATGAGTCATCTTCAATCTTATTTTGCACTTCCTCTTTATTCGTTATTAAAACTTGCACTATAATTTTGTTCCTGTTTGTGTCTACGTGGAAGTAATTTTCTGGGATATCCTCCGCTGTCGCGCTGGGGTCGTTCTCGTCATCGTGTCGGCTACTCTGTGTGTGGGGTCCATTTGGTGGGGTTCCGCCAAACTTGCTCATTACACCATCGCAGTGAGAAGTCCAGAGCTTGTCCTCGCTGGCTGTTCGATAGCCTACAACCTGGAGCTGGGCCATGCACACCCGGGTGTACTTGTCAATTATGAAGGCAAAGTTTGCGTGCCCGAGGTAGTCGGGGTACAGGGCGCGTATGAAATTTTCTAGAATGTGCTTCAGTTGGGCCTCAATGGTGTAAAGGTCTTCCTGCTGCATGGTGGGGGCATCTCCATCGGCCGGGTCAGCCACGTTTGCGCTTGCGTTTGTGGCTGCAGCAGGCGGGGTGTTCCTTTCCAGCGACACGTACAAGAGTATGCCGTCCTTGTTCACGGACAATTTGTACCGCATAATTTTTCGTAAAAAGTTTAGGCTCATCCACTGGTTTAGGGTATTTTCATACACGGATTTGAGCATGCTTCTTTTTTCCTCCTCGTCTAGCGATTGGTAACTAGCTACTATCGCCACGTAGAGTATGTCTAGGAGGAGTTGGGCCTTTTTGGAACTTTGGCTGGAGTTATATATTTGCTCATTTGGGAAGGGTACCACCTCCAGCACGTTTTTTTTTTGCCTGCCGTTTTTCACACTCTTAAGCATTTCTCTCTGAATGTCCCTTTCTATCTCTTCATCCACTTCATTTTTTGCATAGATCTTTTTGTACTGCTCTTGAGATATGCTTTTAATTTCATTGTACAGGGTCATGTACACATGGTCGCTTTTTTGGTTTATCCCCAATTCGATGTACTCCATTGTCCTCACCACCTCATCCAGGGTCATGTTTCTTTTTAGAAAGTTGGTCTGTGTCAGGAATTTCATAAACACTAAGCGGAAAAAGTGATAATCATCCTGGCTAAATGTTTTGGACAAATTATTATTGTAAAACTTTTTTACGAAGAAGTTGCTTTCTTTTTTCATTTTGCTTTTGTGGACAATGGATCCTCCTATCCCTTCGTACAGGAGCGCGACCACGCAGTAGAGAATGCAGAACAGAACATCTTTACCCATTTTGGTTTGTGCGAAAAATGGGTTCTGCTTGGCGGGCCTTTTCCTTTCCGCGCATTGTTGCTACGTATTAAGGGGCCCACGCGGCTGAATCTGTTTTAATATGGTACCTACACAGCTGGAAAAGCATGGCAGCTTCGTCTATTTTACCACTTGGTAAATTATGTTACTCCAGCACTCTCTAAATGGACGATGTTGTATTTGCACACTTGGCCAGCATTCAAACATAAAACCAAAAAAAAAATAATCCAAATAAAAAAATTAACACTATAATAAGGGGACAACCGAACAACTTGGTGGGGGAGAAAAAATCTCCAAAAACAAAAAAAAAAAAAAGCCATTTTAGACAAAATTTCGAAAAAAAAATGCACAAGCTAACCGCTTTGTAACGTTAAAGAGTTGCATGCAAGGAGGCGTTTCAACCTTGTGCAATTTAATAATTTATTTTTTTCTGCTTTTTTTTTTTTTTGTTTTTGGGGAACTGTTTTAGCATATGCGCTGTGGACCATCATTTAGCAAAAGGTATTGTTTTAAATGTGTTAAGAGATATTTGGGGCTTGCGGCGAGAGTGGTAGAAAAAGAGATGTTGGAATAAAGAGAGCGCAGGCCGCTTCCTCCCCACGCGCATAAATGTGATGTGTGCCTGTCTACCCTTAGAGTGGTACTATGTAAAGTGCAGCCTGGCCATAAGTTTGAAGTAGCTGTTTAGAAGGAGCAAATCATGGCAGCATTTTAGCCTAAACATGTTTCCAAAAAAGGTTGCGACTTTTTCGCATCTATTTGTAAAGCTATTGTAAGGAAATTTTTAAAAACTGCAAAACTGCTGGAATGTTATAAAATGCTAAGACGGAAATAACCCCCCTTTTGCATGTTTCATTTTTATCGGGTGTTTCTCCCACCTCATTTATTTAAGCAGCTCGCCGGCATTGCTAGCACTTTGGGGGGCGTTACAAAAAAGGGCATTATGCGGAGGAGAAAAAGTAAAGTTCACATGTTTTTTTGACAACGTGTAGGAACGAAGACTTCATTCCCTGGGGCTTCCCTATTGAACGAATAAAGAGACCTCAGTAAGGGTGGTGGTCAAACCGGCAAAAATCATCCACAGTGATGACTCGTGTTGCAATTTGCGATCAGGCGAGAGTGCTTGGGAGGCCCCATTTTCACTTAAACCAAAATTAAGAAATGGTGAAAGGGACTGAACAAAAATTGCAAATATCCCACGTCGGTGTGGATACGTACGTGTGCACAAATATATGGGCCCTGCAACATATATTATAACCAACCCAGCGTGAAATTACAAGTGTTACAATTTTGCCTGCCTATCTGTCTGTTTTGTTTTGTTTTTTTTTTAACCTGACCTGTTCATAATTTGTTCTCTAATTTATTGTGAGAAGCGCGAAAATATTATGAACAGGTAAGGTTAAAAAAAAAACAAAACAAAACAGACAGATAGGCAGGCAAAATTGTAACACTTGTAATTTCACGCTGGGTTGGTTATAATATATGTTGCAATATTTTTTACGTGTTAATTATTTCGTTACACATAACAAAACAATAATTTGTGTACCTTGTTTTATTTTCATGTTTCGGACTTTATTGTTTTTTCTTCCTATGGTTGATGAGTTTCCCCATTTGCGTTTTTTTTCCCTCGCCAGTTTCACTACCTTTTTACACATTTAATGTTGTTTTTTCCACACAAAAGTCATGTATACACTTGCTGTGCATCTTGACACACTCACCTTCCCACAAACACAAAAGAAGTGAACCCCGCCTTCGTTTTTCGTTTCTACATAACATTAGTTTATATAAGAGGTAGAATCTTTATACAATACCTTTTTTTTTTTTTTTTCCCCCTTGCCTTCCTTTCCGGGTTTTAACTTTTTTCTTTTCCCTTTCCGTACCGCTCCTCCCTTTTCCCACACAAGGAGTACTAAGTTAGTTACATGAGAATTTACCCATCAAACTGTAAAATAAGCCTCTTAAGAAACTTCATTTTTACTTTTTTAATTTGTACATGCTGAATTAATTTTTTCCTGTACAGCACAGCACAGGCAAATGTACACAGTGTTAATCGTTTAAATGTGTCCCAAAGGAGTTATTCTCAAAATATAGGCTTACGCAGTTTATGTTTTGTACATGCTTATTATTATAACATCCTTTTTGCTGCGTTTGTATAAAGAAATGCGCAATTTCGGGTCAGTGACCATATGCCCATATATACTTTACACAACATTTATCCTTCTGCCCCCTCCTTATGTTTCCCCTTTTGCTATGCGCTTGCGCAGGTGTGCACTTGTAATACGTGTGACACATTTACAATCTTTTAATTGCGTGGGGCATTTGAAGGGAAGAGTTATCACTTTTAGCCGCCCACTGAACAGACATAGAACTTGCGCAAATACCCCAAAAAAATAAAAACGAAGCGAACTGAAGTGAAATAAAAGAAGAAAGTCTTTCTCACTAACGTTTTTCGCTTCGGACGTAGGTATCTATTGTTTCATATGCATATATATTTTGCCAAAAAAAAAAAATTAATAAAACGCACACAATTTTTAAAACATAAAAGAAGGCGAAATTCGTCAAACAGTTAAAAAAAAAAAAAAAAAAAAAAAAAAAATACATCTCATGAATGGATATAAAAAAACATCCCATACACGTTGAGCATTTATAGTTATATATATATATATAATGCCCTTTTTTATGGGTAACGCGAAAACATTTTTTTTTTCACCTGCGACCGTGGGTAACAAAAAAATTCAAAGTGGAAAAGCGAGTAGAAAGTGCCAATTGCCAAATATTTGACTGTCATTTTTTTTACAGCTGTTCAGAGACTGATCGTTTGCAAATTTCCAGCTGGGCAAAAGTACATAGCGCGAAATGAATTTTTTTTAGAAATAAGCCTCTTTTATACCTATTTTTTCGTAATTTCCGATATTTGTCGCCGCGCAGGGGCACATGCGTACGCAACGCATGTATGTTTAGTATACGTATTTATGTACGTATGAATGTATTTTTGTATGTACTTTTTTTTATATACATTGGTATATACGTTTGTATGTACGCATATGCGTACAAGTACGTAGGTTTGCGCATCCCGCTGTGCAGTTGCGGACGCGCCAGATTGCATTGTACACTGACACGGATGCATGACTTAATCACGCGCAAGTCATTATTTTATATACCTGTATGATTTTATCCTTGTGCATTTTTTTTTCCCCCCCGTTAACGTACTTCCCAACTAAGGGGAAACATAAGAAAATACATTGCCCAAGGGCGAAATAAGCAGATGATATGTTTTTTCCCCTAAAAGGACGCAAACCGTTCGAAAGAAAAGGGGAAGAAAAAAAACAACACCAGAGGGTGATTAACTCATTCAGGGATTGTGATAACGCGGAAGAAGTTTCCTTCTCAGCACGAGGAGGTAGAGAAGAGCAAAAGCACTTTCGCGGAAAGAAGCAACGTAGAAGCAAGGTTGAAGCGAAGCGGACGCAACAACCATGCTAGATTCATTAAGCAGCAAAGAGAAAGAGGAACCGCACGCGGACCTAGACAGCATCGACGTGAGTGAATACAATCATGTAATAAACAATTCCAACAGCTCGGGGGAAGAAGACGATGAGTCTTCATCGGATGATTATATGGAAGGTGAAGAAGTGACGAAAGGCAGTCACAACAGGAGTAATTTGTATGGTGGTAGTAAAGCTAGTCCAAATAACAGCTGTGGTCAAGCGAATAATGACCAAGCCGACGGCGTCACCAATTCGGATAAGAGATGTACCAATAGCCCAAATGACACAACGACGTTAACAAAATCGAGCCAAGAAAAGGGGAGCCAAGATACAAGTGGAATAAACAAAAAAGGTAAAAGCAGCGAATACAAACAAAACGAAATTCAAAACAACCACACATATATCTACGTTAGGGTAAAAACAAACGAATGTAATAACAACATCATTAAGTGCAAAATAGAAAAAAACATCACTGTAAAAAAATTGAAAAAAAGTCTGAGGAAAATATTACACAATGAAGAAGACGAGTATAGGATTATTTACAGAGGAAGACTGCTAAAGGATGTGGAAGTTTTGGCCAAGTACAACATAAAATTTAATGATATCCTCTACGCAATTAGAATTAATAGGAAAAGAAATGGAAATGACGCCATCCTCGATTCAGGAATTACAAGCTCACAGTTAAGTACTATAGGAGAGGAGTATAACGACTTTGGGAAATTTCCCCAAAACGATAATATATCAAAATTAATTTCTTCCATGTTTGATAATAGTGATTTTCTTAAATCAATTATGGACTCTAATAAGCAGCTGCAAACGTTAAGAGAAAAGAATTCCGAGATACACCACATGTTAAATGATTCACAATCGTTGAAGCAGTCATTTGAAATGATTAAAAATCCCTCATTAATGAAAGAACTGATGAGGAATACGGATCGAGCCATAAGTAATATAGAAGCCATTCCAGGCGGGTTCAACACTCTGAGACGAATGTATCACAATATACAGGAACCCATGTATGCTGCCAGTGAGGCCTCAAATGAAAATAAAAAAAATAAAGTGAAACATTATGACTTAAAAGCTTCTTCTCCACCCACCAGTGAAGCGTTCCCGAACCCCTGGGCTTCCAAAGATGTTAATGCAAAAAATAAAAATAGTCAAAATAATGATCTAGATAAATATCTTCTCATGAATAATAATTTGTTTAACAATAGCAATGATCTTTTTAAATCGAATAAGAAGAACAGGGGAAATGGGTTGGGAGCCAACAACAACCTTTTCAAGACTAACATTTTGGACCTCCTGCAACATTACCAGGCGCCTCCTCAAAATCAGATGGGTGGCATAAACGGATCGAGCAGCATGAACAACCTCTTCAGCAGTGCGCAAATGAACAGGCGGCAAATGTACCACGGGTTATTGAACACTGGGCTGTTTAACCCGGGTTTGTTGAACAACGCGTCATTAAATAACGGGTCTGCGGTCAGCCCCCCCCCTAGTAACACTCATCCCAATGGCACGCAGCCCGCAAGTGGAGCTTCCCCTGTTGGCGACCTGTTCAACAACAACCTATTTAACGACAAGCTATTATGCGGATCCAACTATACGAATGATTTTATTAACCAGTACACACAAGTGGAACAGAACAAGGACGACACAGAAGTGGCCAATGCGCCAAACCAAGTAATTTTAAATGTGAAGGACCAAGTGAATAATGATAACGATATGAAGTCCATGTTGAGTGATCCCTCCCTTATCAACCAGAATGGTGAGGTAACCGCTTCGAAGAGTAGCGGTGCTCATCTTGGCGATGAAGAGAAGGGTAGGGGTGATGTGGTTGTGAACACTGCTGATGAGGGGCAACTCCCTCTGGGAGGGAAAAGGAATGCCAGTGAAAGTATAGTAAAGGAGGCCATCGCGGAGAATGAACTGGAAGAGAGTAATACGAAAGGAGGGGCGGGTGGCGACGCGGATCATTTGAACAATATTGTAAATGTGACTTGCGGGAGGGGTGACAATTCCATGGGGGAAGGCTCTCCCAATTTGTTACCAATTGATGTGAGTAGCTCGAATGGGGTTATCCCCCCAAGTCCTGCGGTGCTGAATATGCAGCAAGGGGGTGGCAACCTGGGCGGTCTTAGTGGGACCCCGTTAAACATCCAGGAGAATCATGTCAATAACCTCGATTTGAGAAGCATGTCTGAGGCGATCAAGTTGTTGAGGAACGGTGGCGGCACTGTTGGTAGTAGTGTTGGTGGTACTGTTGGCGGTACTGTAGGCGGTACTGTAGGCGGTAGCGCCCAGAGTGAGCAAGAATATTTTTGTAAGCTGTACGCCGAGCAGCTGAAGTCACTACGAGAAATGGGGTTCACGGACGAACAGAAATGCATAAAGGCGCTAATTAACACGCAGGGGAATATAGACAGGGCCATCGACTTTTTGTTGGCCAATATGACTGCAGATCAGAATTGAGGTGAAAAGGGGAGGAAAAAAAAAAATAAATAAAATAAAAAATAAATAAATATGGGGATGAAATGACTTGGGATCCCAGGGGGGGGGGAAACTGGAGCGACATTTACCCCTCCCCCCCCATCATTAGCATTCGCAAAATTCTTTGATCCAATCACTTTTTTAACAATTTGCCGTTGCGTTGGGAGGTGGTCAGCGTAACGTTTGTTCGTTTTGCTTCCTTTTTTGTGCTTTCTTTTTTGTGCCTCCTTTTTTGCCTCCTTTTTTGCCTCCTTTTTTGCCTCCTTTTTTGCCTCCTTTTGCTTCGTTTTATTTGCTCAATTTCTGTTTAAACTGATGTTACCCCATATTACTAAAGTCAAGACATTACAGTGTTTGCAGGTGAATGTGAATAGACCTGTTTGCACATGTATATATCCCCCATCTTGTCTGACCATGCACACTGGGGTTGATGGGCATTTCCCTCAATTGTCTTCGGAATAATGTAAAAGAGGGTTTTTTTATACCTCGTTCGGCACATAAAATAATCAGTGTAAAAAGTGTATATATATATTCGCAAGGTTGCTATGTACCTGACGTTGCGTGACGCGCCGCTTCGCGTCACTCCCCCCCGCCAAGCATCTCCTAGGAGAGACCAAACTTGCAGCAAAACAAATGGTTGACGTATTGGTGCTGGAAACCAACCCATTTGCAATTTTCATTTTGGCACTTAATTTTAACGCTGGAATGAATTTTGTATAATAGGCCCATAACTCCACTGGAGTGTTCATCAATTTTGATTAGTCCATCTCCTGGCAAGTACAAGGAGCAGCTAGGGCATTGTATGTTTTCCCTACCTGCGTGGAGGACAAGGTATCCCCTTAAGCAGTCGGAGCAACAGGAAGCATAACAACATGGAAATAATATAGGTTCATAAGACAAATTTATTTTACATATGGAGCAAATTAATTCTTCTATGTTGATTAGAAGTATGGATGAGGGTATTTTAAAGGTTATTTCTTTTTCTCTTTTTGAATAGGAATCTTTTTTTGCCCAAGTAGCCCTAACTCTGCTTCCTCTAATGCGAATTCCACCTGCACATGCAGCATTCAAAGTCCTTTGAGCTTCCAGATTCGTTGAAAATCGAACAAAAGCATACCCCGATGTAGCTGTCCATTCCTTGTTGGGGTGCCTTGATTTCTTATCACACACCACCATGGTTAAGTCTACATTCCCGAACTTGCTAAAGACGGAGAGTAGGTCCTTTCTTGTGGTGTTCGAGGGTACGTTGACGATTAATGTGTATTTGGCAAATGATTTGGAGAGCCTCTTACTGAGAATGACGTCCTCTTCTGTTTGATTATCGCAGTTCTGCGGCAACACATGATGTGAAGAACTTCCGAACCCATCATCGTGAAGCGCTGCATTTTTGTTTTTTTCCCTTTTCCCCTGTTCCATAGCATACTTGAGAAAAAAGCTACCACAGAAGTCGTAGATTTGGGGCTGATTGGTTAGTTCCAAGTTATGGTCTCCATACACGTGTCGTTGGTGCACATCGTAGGGTGCCGATATTGGGTAGGCGAAATGGTACGAATGAGCAACTTGTTCACCCTTTTCCCCCTTAACATTACACGAACTGGTTAAGTCCACCTCTTGCATTTCGCACGGAGATACCTCAAAACGATTTCTCTTCAAGTGGAGCGTTTCCTTTTTCTCCATCATCAGATGCATCAAATTTGTTTTATTCCCCATTTCAACGTTTCGCCAGTTGTCGCCAATGTGCAAAGCGCTATCTTCTTCTTTGTAATTCTTTCTCGAGTGCCTTTCGAACGGGATGCAATTTGGTGACACCGAATGGTTCTCTCTGTTGTCATTTCGGCCTGTTGTCTTTTCTTCCTCCTTGCGATATGCCCCCAGTTGGTCCAAAATAAAATTTTCTCCTAACATATACTGCATGTAAGTTTCCGTGCCCTCGGTAAAGGTTCCTATTTGGGGTGCTTCCTTCCCCTGAACAGGTGGTTTTCCATGGTGAGAATAAAATGAGGGGAGAGCGCGACCATCCACAACGGGGTAATCTTGTATCCCCTTGGTGAACAGCGCGTCTTGCGCCATTTTCAAAAAGGGGTCTTCCACCATTTTTATGTTTTGGTTTTCCGACTTGGGGTTTGTGCCCCCTTCTCCGTGAAAACCATCCGCTACTTGCCGCTCATTTGGGAAAATGTCAAATGGGAGTGAAAGCCCATGGTTGTTACTTGTTCCAATGGGAGCTGCCACGGGTGTAGTTTTCCCAAGTGTAGTCGTCCCGTGTGTAGCTTCTTCCTTATGTAGCGAGGGTTCCTCCCCTTCGAATATGCCCAAAACCTTTCCTCCTGTATCCTCGCCGTGCACCCACATTTTGTTGTGCCTTAAGTCGTAATAGTAGTTTTGGTTGAACTCCTGCTGAAGGATTTCGTCCCTGAGGGAAGCCTCGAACTTGCCCACATGGTTGTGCGCAGTGGTGTGTGCAGTGGTGTGTGCAGTGGTGCGTGCTGCGGTGGCTACTTGGCTCCCTAGCAGATGGGACCTCCCGGGTGGAGGAAAAAATGAGGTGAGCAAATCTGCAGCTGTGGAATGGGGAGGGAGTGTCATCTGTGCTAATCCATGTTGTTCATATGTTATGCCCCAGTCTGGGTTAACCCCCCTGCTGCTTCCAACCCGATTTACTCCCCCTGCACAGCCCCCAATTTGGTTGTCTTCTACTTCCTGCTTATCACCCCATTTAGTTAGTTTGTCCTGTTGCCAAGTGTCACTTTTATTTTCAGTAAAATTGCGCTGCTTCTTTAATTCAAAAACGTCGTTACTTTTGTCTTCCCCCCTCTCCACCTCCACTGCTACCTCCTCCAAGAGCATATCCCCTCCATACTGCCCACAAAGGTTGGCCTCCATGGCCCCGTAAAAATTTACTCCAAAATGTTCCAAATTATATTCACATGGTAATATGTTGTCATCCCCCTTTATGTGGATGTCATTTTCTTCCATGTGGGAAGGAGCTATCTTCTGGGGGTTCTTAAAAAGGAGTTTGTCTTTCTTTGTTTTATACGAAGCATCACTGGTAGGGGGAAAATCATTTGTGAGGTTCTTGCCCCATATGTTTGTCTCACAAATTGGGTGTCTACAACTGCTGGGTTGGCCTTCATTATCATCCACATGATGATTATCCGCATGGAGATTATCCCCATGAAGAACGTGGTTCTCGCCCAAGCTGACTACGCTTAATTTGTAATTAACCTTTTCGTTCATTTCTTTAGAATGATCTCCCTCTTCTCCTCCTCCCTCTGTGCTGGTTAGTGTCTCCACTACATCGTCCCTCTGGCTATGTTTCTTGGTCACACTACAAGGGGCATACTGAATAGCTTCTCCCAAATTGATCAGATTTGAAGTCGACTTTGCTGAACTTCTTGTAGAATCTACTCCTGTCGAAACGCTATTTATTTTGAGCTTTTTTAAATGTTTCATATGTTTACCACATGGGAGAATATCATTGACTTGGTTTTGTGTATCTTCAAGGTCGTCTTTCGAAGGGTCATTCATGTCACTGTCGCACTTCATTTGGTCAAGAAGGTGTTAGCACAACTTTTTGCTGCTATAAGGATGAACCCATAGACGGGGATTTTTTTCCCCTGAGAAGATGGTCACTGCGTTTGCCCTTAGTATTGAGCACCTCCCCCACAAAAATGAATAAACAAAGGAACTCTTTTCCAAGTGAGCTACTCTCATTTGACACGTACCAGCCTTGCCAAATTAAACAAAAGCATTAACCGTGACGAATAGAGCTACCTGAAGTGTACCTTATGAGCATGTCTACGTATAAACACATGTGTGATTATGTTGGAGACAGGAAGCCACACGAGTGTATAATTATTCCTATGAGGGGGGTCACCTTCGAAGGGTTACAAGTGTAGAGGCAAAAAATGAGGTGTATTCAGATGGAATAATTCACAACACGGACTTTGAAAAATGGACAAGTGCGCGATGGACATGTGTAGTGCGTATATAGACTATTGGAGGGTAAAAAAAAAAAAAATGGGTCCAATGGACAGATGAAGAGTTACAAGTTTTGATTAACCCGTGTACTGAAATTGGGTTCTGTGGGGAAGTGCCAAAAGGAACTTGTAACTATTACAACCACACATTAGTAGACACCTACTTGGATTTGTGTCAACACAGAGGACGTAGAAACGAATAAGCTCATAGCAACTGTATTGCGCAGTAAGAACAAAAAAAATAATAAAATAAAACGAAGCAAAATCAAATGAAGTAAAATATACACACAACACCATAAAGGGAACGAAACAGACTACCACCAAACGTTCCTCTTCATGGTGTTGTGTGTATATTGGGTCTGCCTTTTCCTGATGAGATGAAAATGTACCTCTATATTTTACATCTACTGTGAAGGATTGTCTACGTGTAAAAACTGTTCTTTAACAAGGGATTTTTTTTTTTTTTTTTTTTTTTGAAAAGATAAAGTATGTTCTTGTGAACAGATATAAAAAGAAAAATTCTTTTTTCATCATTTCAATTTTTTGGCGAATTAGCAATTTATTCCAACCCAGCCAAATTAGTCTTGTGTCTATTTCTAATTCGTGGGGACGATTCATTTTTTTTTTAAATGTACAGCTAGCTATTGGAGCAAGCGGCACACAAGGGTGTAAGCGTATGTGTGTATGTATATATGTTGTATAAGTATGTACTTGCTGCCCATGTGGGCTATCTATTAATTTTCCCCTAACCGCTTCTGCAGCCGAGTGGTCCACTTTTGGTCCTCCTGGGTGCGTTCGCAAAAAAGATAAAATAAAATAGAAAAAAAAAATAATTAACTGAATGGGGCTAGTTTCCATTGGGGGTAAAAATAACAAGAGTAAAAATGAGGTAAAAAAAAAAAAAAAATGGCGTAAAAAGTAGAATACAATATAATATAGTGTAAAATATGTGACACGCCTTTTACACTCAGCACAATGCATCCCGCGAGGGCTAATTTCCAGACCCCATCTCTCTTCGACAGGCGCGCGAACGCAAAAGGACGCACCTAAATTACACCTACGAATTCGCGAGACGGGGCGTGGAGGACATTTTCCATTCGTTGTCCATGGCGAAAGGAGGGATAGCCACAAGCTGAATTGACGCGTTACAACATTTAAGGAATGAGCATGCACGTTTTGTATAAACCCTACTGTGTAGGGGAAAGAAGGGGGGGAAAAAAAAAATTCCACACAACCCGTTTTTTTTTTTTTTTGCATCATCAATATTGATAATGTATATTTGTAGCATTGTTCTTCGCTTCCACTCATGCAGGGTACAAATTAGCATACTTCCTATCATGCGTGGTTGGTTCCCCAGGATTGGTTAATCACCCATAGGAGGAGGGGACACAATTCGCTCGTTCCGTTTTGCATGCACAGGATCTTAATGAACCCACATGTAGATAGCACAACGCTGTGGTATGGTGCTCACTTGGGTGCATCTCCTAACAAGTGTGTGAACGCCGCCTCCTTCTCAGGGCTGCTCCTCGCGACGCTCTTCAGGAGTTAACTTAATCAAATCATCGATTCGCAAAATTGTGATGGTAGCTTCTGTGGCGAACCGAATCGACTTGATTTTGCTGATCATGGCTTCTAAAACTCCGTTCTTCATATTATTAGCAACTTTTCCATTAACCAAGTCTAGCCCATACCACCTATAGTCCTTTGGATCCTCCGTGTTCATGACCTGCGATTTGGTGTGGTATGCTCGTAACTTGCACACTAAATCTATGGAATCGTAGGAAGCGTTTAAGGCTAATATTTTTGGGATCACTAATAATGATTCTGCAAATTCTGCAATAGCTAGCTGTTCTCTAGAACCCAAAGTTTTAGCAAAATCTTCGAGGTAAACAGATAGAGCAACTTCTACACACCCCCCACCAACAACAACGTGATTACTTTCTAGCGCTCTGCTCACTGAACAAAGGGCATCGTGAATAGACCTCTGCATCTCATCCAAAACAAAATCATTTGCCCCTCTTAACAAAATGGTATTCGACTTTGAAGTTTTACAACCTTTAAAAAACATAACGTCCCAATCACCTACTCTTTCTTCATATACTTCATCACAGAACCCTAGGAAAGCTGGTTCAAATTTTTCCGTGCCATCAAGGGATGACATGGTGAGTCTGATCTGTCCATTGGTTAGTTTTGCAATCCTCCTCAAATCATCTTTATTAACTCTCCTAACTGCAATAGCACCAGATTCAACAAAATATTTTAATGGCATGTCGTCGATGCCTTGTGTGGTAAGGATTACATTGGCACCTGATTCTAAAATTTTATTTACTCGTTCTTTGGTTATATCTTTTTCTCTCTGTCTTATTTTTTCCAACTCGGTGGGATCATTTATATTAACCTGAACACCTAGATGCAGTCTATACTGCTTTAGCGGAAAATCCAAAAAGGCAATTTTTGCATTCTTCACACCGGTAGGCATGGACTGTGAAGCTCGACCACTCATAATGGCATAGCCATCAATCAACTTAGAATCAAGTGAACTCATTCCATGTACCTTTATTACATTAACAGATGACACAGGGTATTTTGTCTTACCCGCATCGTTAACAATTCTTACAGACTGAATAGCATTTGCCACCATTTTTGCAAAATAATCTGATTCATATCCAATAAACTTAGAAGATAAAGTTGTTTTGGCAACGTTTATAATTACATCCTTTCCTAGGTTACTTACTCGTTCGCTTAGTTTTTCTTTTATGTATTTTACAGACTCTTTCATTGCTAATTTATACCCGCAGATGACGGTCGTTGGGTGTATATCCATTTTAATGAGTTCATTTCCTCTTCTTAATAGCTCTGATGCTAGCAACACCACTGAAGTTGTTCCATCTCCTACTTCCTGATCCTGTAATTCAGAGAGGTTTACTAAAATTTTGGCTGCTGGGTGCTGCACCTCCAACTGTTTTAGGATCGTGGCCCCGTCATTTGTGATGGTGACGTCTCCGATGTTATCCACAAGCATTTTGTCCAATCCCTGCGGCCCCAGACTCGACTTCAAAATGTTCGAGAGTGCCTGCACGGCGGTCACTAAAAAAAAAAAAAAAAAAAGGGGGGGGGAGGGGTTGGGTATACACAAAAAGAGGAGAATTTAAAGCGGTGCTTGCGACTTATACACTGAAGGGCACTATAAAATACACCACATCATTCACCACACGTTCGTTGCCCTCTTACCGTTCGCCGTTCTCACATCTTGGCCGCTTTCCCTATTCCCGTAAATACTTAAAGACATTTTGGTCTCCTTAAAAAAGTGGCACTCGATTTGGTAATCTTATCCTAAGGGGTACTCAGCGGTACGGCGCTTGTTCTGATGCGTTCTCGTTCTCTTTGCTCCTCCTATGCGCGAAGCGGTCACTCATTAACCTTCCCCCCTTTTGCAATTCACGTGTGCGCAAATGTAGATAGGATCAATATATGGCACAGCGTAGGGGGTATGTCGATTTTTTTCCTTCGAAAAAGTAAAAAGTGGGGGAAACTCTCCGTTGTTTTTTTTTTTTTTTTTTACGAAGGCATATGTTTTTTTACTTACACTTGTTTGGATGGGGGAGAAACGCAAAAAAAAAAAAAAAAAAAAAAAAAAAAAAAAAAAAAAAAAAAAAAGGCGAAAAACGATGTAAAAAAAAAGGGGGAAATAGCAAAAAACGAAACAAAAAAAAAGAATATAAAAAAATCGCGTACAAAAATGATATACAATGGAATGCACAAAATGACGCTCCATATAACGTGCCAAGGCATGTACCAAGAGAGGACGCTACTATAGCTGGCGCAGAAGGAAGCGGATGTAGCTTCGCTTTCTCTTCTTTTAATGGCAAAAAATGTCGGGGAAAAAAAAGCACTCAAGTGGCATAGCGTACACCACCGTGGCACGCATAAGCATTGGCATGTACGCAATTATGTATGCTATATAGGTAGGCGTTTTTTTTTTTTTGGTTCCCCGTTTTTTGAGCGCGCCCCGTTTAAATTCAAACGTTATTTGTGCTGCCCCAGTTGGGTATGCAGATGGTGGTAGGACTTAAGGGTCATGGATCATATCGTGTACCCTATCAGGTTAAGTTCCCTCAATTGTAAAGGGGCTGTGAAAATGGACCTTTCTAGTACTGCAACGTTATTCTCCTTTTTTATTTTTTCCCAAGCTTACTTCCTATGTTAAGCATATTTTCACCACCTCATACCAGCACATTGGTGAAGTGCGAGAAGGGAACACACGGTTCACGTAAAATTATGTAAAACCAGTTTAGTGTCAAGCATAAAAGCGGCATACAGGGAGCTAACATGATTTTAAGTTACCGCCACTTTAAGATGCCACTTGTTGGCTCTATTTTTTCCCTCCTATATTCACGCTGCTTAAAAAAAAAAAAAAAAAACTTTTACAGGATTGCTTCTATTTCCCCGCATCACCATGTAGTCCTCTATATGTACGAGGCCAGCAACATGATGTTGTTATGTGGGATAATTCAAAAGTGGTTCCAGCGGGTGAGGACTCCCTTCGTGCACCCCACGAAGTGAATGTTCCATTTGATGTAGCTGACACTGGGCTAAGGGTTAGGCATAAGGGAAGGTACACCATTTAGTAGCACAGTGAAGGATCCGTTATGGTTTATTTTGCTAATGCGAAAACCAACCTTGATCATTTTTATTTATACATCCGCTTAAGTACTAGGGTACCTATATGTATACATATAACCGGAGCCACGCCAGTTGTCACAAAATTGTGCTCGTGTGTTTAGCCCCATGGTTGTTAATATTAGATGAGGATTTAAGCACACACATGTGGAGGGAGGTGCATGTCCCTGTTGTTATTCCGTACTGCCCTTAAAACGCACTTTATTTCGTTACGTTGTAGTGTTACTCGAGTGGACGAAGCTGCCACACCTCCAGTAGAAAAAAGGGAGAAGACGTGCACCCAAAGTTAAGGTGACTTCCAGGATGTACACGGGTGTGGCGCCTCTCTAAGCATGATTGCAATTTTTGAGGCAAGAACAGTGCGATATAAAAGAAGTACGAATCGCTCCTGTGTAAATTGCATACATTTACATGCGTGCACATCATGTAAGTTTAAAGCGGCAAATGGAGGTGCTTATACGCAGCTGTTTCGAGCGTTCTCCCGCATTTTCCAGGACATCCCCCTTAGCGCATGCGTTCTTGGCCCTTCGAAAAGGGAACAAACTAAACTCCCTAAAATGCAGTTTACATTCATTGTGGGTTCGTCCAGCGGGTTTTATCAACCCCGTGCTCACATCTCTCCCTTGGGAAGGATCCTTGGGAAATTATTACCCTTAAGGGAAATGTGTGATATGTGGCAAAAAGGAAACCCTTTTTTTGTCTTTTAATTTTGCCTACTGATTTAAAAAAGTGATACAAATGAATGGGCAAAAAATGCATACACACGTGTGTGTGCCATTCGCGGCGGCTCTTTCAATAACCCGTGTGCAACTCCAACGTGTTCAGCAAATTTTTTTTTTGGACACCAACCCTAACCAATCTCTCTCTCTCATATGCAGTGTCTTTTTATGTACACAAACCACAAATTGCGCATCACTGCCACGTAGACATTAAGGTATGTATTAATTTTTGTGCGCCCTGAAAATGTGACCACAAAATAATGTAAGCGCTATTGTTTCTCACTTTGGCGAAAGAAAAAGGGAAAGTCAACTTAAATTATGCTGAAACTGACATTGGCACCTTAATGTAGGAGTGTTAATTCACCCGTATGTGAACGAAGTGGAAGAAATTATCCAAACAAGCTCATTTTTTTTTTTTTTTTTTTTTTTTTTTTTTCCTGCCCCTTCGAATTTACATAAGCATGAGTATGCATCCTCTTGCGAAAAAACGAACGGGAAAAAAAATAAAAATAAAATAAAAATAACAATACAAAGCCATGCACTGCGACACAATTCTATGCTTTGCGAACGCACGGCGAGAACGCATTAAAAACGAAATTCACACAAGAGCCATACTATACCTGCCTACGATAGTGACACATAATTTACATTCGCGCCCTTTTTTAGCGCCTCCCGTAAAGTGAATAGCGAATTTTCTTTTTTTTTTTTTTTTTCCCCCAGTCTTCGGTTACACGCCAAAGGACAGGACGATTTGCATATGAGTTTTTTTTGTTTTTAAAGGCCCTGGTCGTTGAAAGCGGCGCGTCAGAATACGTGAGCAACAGTAACGTGCTGAGCTACAGCGCACTGCTCGGTGTGCACAGATGATTACAAAGTGGGGCATACCCACGTGGCGCACATTTAGCGAATATGCGCTTTTGAGTGCAACCCCGCGCCGTACACAAAAGGAGAGAAAAATAAAGTACAAAGAGATAGGGCAACACAGAATAGCGCAAGCCAACTAAGAGTTACATGCAGGGAAACGCTCCCATTTTTGAGGCCTTTTAAGCGACGCAAACACTGGTCAATCGGCCAGTGTCAGCATAAATCAATATTAGGAGAAGCCACGCCCCCAACAGAGCGTGGGTATTAATGAACTTTTACACATCTCCCCGACGAACGTTGAAATAGGGCGACCTCATTGGGTTGAACACAAATCGCGACGGCGCGAGACATTGAATAATTGTCCCTCGAACAGTTGCGTATAGCGAGACCAAGTATAGCCTTGGCCAACATCACCACACGCTGCTAAACGCGTGGGAGTGCAGCTGCGGACGAATATACTCCCCCTCCCCCTTTGTACAAAACGCACACAGAAAACACAATGGATATGAACTTTGGCTTTTGCAACGACGCCTTTTTCGAGCAAGGCAACAGATCAACGGATAAGGAAGATGTAGAGGATGCGAAGAAAGGAGATGCGAATGATATAACGAAGAAAAACAACAACGAATTAGGAGAGGAAAAAGAATTACCCAAAGAATTATGCGTCCCAGTTACTATTAAATTATTACTGAACAAAATGATGAACCAAGAAGAATTTAAAATTCATGACTTTCAAATCAGTGGCATTCTAGTCTTCGGAAAGGTATGCAAAATTAAGGAGTTGGCCAGCGCCATCATTTTTGAAATTTGTGATTACACAGGAAATATTGAAGCGAAATATAATAAGGACGCGAATAATGAGAAAGTGAAGGATCATATAGAAAGTATAAAAGTAAATGACCACGTTAAGGTCGTAGGAGTGGTTTACTCCCCGGAGAGTAAAACAGAGCAAATACAAATAAGCATATCTTACATTAACAAGGTGGATGATTGGGTTTCGTACTTTTCCTACTTCAACTCTGATGTGATCTATTGCTACTTGAAGCTTTTAAAATTAAAAAATATTTATACACCCAATGGGGTCAATAATGAAGAGAAACCCTGGTCCCACGTAACCCTAGACACCTACTACAACCAGCTAGACGACATCGACACGGACATTATAAAGTACTTACACACGACAAGTGAAAAGTATGCCAACCAACAGGACATTTTCGAACACCTCAAAAAGTATCACTCAGAAATGAACATAAAGAAGTCTCTCACGAAACTTATTGAGCAATACGATTTGGCGCAGTACGAGGATATCATCAGTATCCCCTAATTTTTCTCTTTTTTTTTTTTTTTTTTTTTTTGCAGGGGGGCGAATTGGGGTGGGGAAAGCCTACCAACGGTTGCTATGTAAAGGCTTCACGAGCACCTCACCTGATGAGAGGGTAGCCCTTTACCCACCGCGAAACAAACAACACTTGAACACTCCATGCATGTTTTTCTCGCACGCACATTCTTCTCCAGCGGACGACAGGTGCAAACATCTGTCCAGCTGAAACTCGGAGTTGGAATATTTTGAGGTGCTCCACGGGCTTGCCTCAACGTCAGACGCTTCTCTATACACGCACGTATGGATTGATGTGAAAAATGAAAAAGTATCCCCCCCCCCCCCCCCCCCCCCCTCTTTCCCTCCATTAGGGAATACCAAACATTTGTGTCTGTCTTTTTTTTTTTTTTTTCATATTTTGAAGTGTTTACACCACAAATGCGTTACCTTGCATTTTGCGTAAAAAAAATATTAAATATATAAAAAAAAAAATAATAGAACTAAACACGCAACGTCAAGTTACGCGAACTTCATTTTCTTCTTTTTTTAATTAAATTACACACTTAACTTAATGTAAAAAAGACAAAAACAAAAAAATGGGTCTGCTTTTTAAAAAATTTACCTTCTTAAAAAGGGACGGCCAAATGGCTAGCTCTCTTGAGAGGTCTACAAATATAACCTGGGGTGTCCCCCATATATAATGGTTCGCAAAAAGGTTGTCTCACAAATGAAGATAAAAACGCTGCTAACGCTGCGCCATTAAACAAACGAATTCAAAGTGAATTATGAAGAGAAAAATAGGCGGGTCGCGCACACGAAAGTGCAACCAAATTTTACGATGCCACCTTTCTTTTCTTTGTTTTCTTATCTGACGCGATGCTCTGATAGAAGAAATAACTCACACCAGTAAAAACGATCATTATACTGATCACAAAATAAATGGAAAAATATTTGTCACTCTCCAGGATAAAAGGAAAGTCGTAAAAATATAAAACCACTAGAGTAAGCGGGGTCGAGGACTTCAAAATTAAAAAACACTCCGCTGAAGAGTAGTTACTGTAAAACGATGACACGCTCAAGTTGAAAATAGCGTTCACCACAATGTACAGAATGTACACACCAAGCGAGTACTTACAGTTGGAGTTATTCTCCGTGGTGTATCCTGAAAAGCACTGCATGCTGTCCTTGATATATAGAAAATAAGAAACGTCTTTGTTCTTGTTAAACAAAAGCTGAAAATATATTATCATTGGAAGCAAACAAATTTGGATTAACGAAATGTTGAAAGACAAAAGTATAACGCTCATTTTGTCTGAGGCGCTTCTTCTTTTCTGCGTCTTCTGAACTGTGTCACGTTTGGGAGTGACCTGTTCTATCTCGACGGGGTTCTCAATCGGTTTGCCCTCCATACTATCGAGTACCCCTTTGGATGTACCCGCTTCAACCCCATCACCTTTACGGCACATCGGGCAGGCAGATGTGAAATGGCGCTCGGTACTAGCAACCCCGTCCATTATACCATTCTCCTTGGACGCGGACACTCCGCTTAACATTTCATTAGCCCTCTCTTGGTGGCTTACAGGTAACTGTTGCACATTTATCATGTAGCCATTCCTATCCCCATCAGTCGGTTTATTAAAAAGGGGATAATCAAAGAGAGTTGCCTTGTTGCGATGGCCGTGTTTTATCCCTTGTGTGTTACTCTCCTCAGAGGATGTTCTTTCTTCTGTATCCATTTCGCTGAAGTCATTCTGTGGTACCCCGAGCTCTGGAGTGCACATGGCACTACAGAATCGAGGGAATTTCCTTTTGATCTTCCTTATACTGACCATCCTGTTACGCTTCTCTCTTCCTTTTATATATTCGGAGAAAAATATTTCCCTTAGGATCCCACCGTACGATGTTAGCAAAATGGACAACACACAAAAAATGATAGATGCGAACATGCCAAACTGGCTTGCTGTACTGCACGTGGGATCATTACAAGGATAGACACTGTTAAAATAGCTAGCACTATCCTGCAGTGCATTATTCACATTTAGATAAAAATGGGAGTTCATATAAAAACTGACCATTGTCTGCTTCGAAACCACTGTGTCTTCCTTGTACACGTACGGAATGTAGAAGAAGAGAAAACCTACTATGACGATAATGACTGACAACGCGTGATGGATATTGTACTTTCTTTTTAAAATTATGTATGATAATATAATGGAGAAAATAAAATTTAACTGATTCAGGAGCAGTAGGATGGTTAGTGGAATAGCTAGCTGGGACACAAAATACAACGTGTTTGATATTATGTCAAATAAAGCTATGACGACTACATATTTGTATGCTCCTAAATTCTTCCACTTCTTCTTTACACTAGCAAGCACTCCCTTGTCTGTTGTCTCTCTAGAGCGAAGGACATCGTATGGTTTATCATGATGGTAATGTTCTAGTATGTCTTTCATGTCTTGCTTACTAAATGAATACACTCCCTCCACAGCTGAGTTCTGCACAATAGCATGACTGCATGGACACCGAGTGTGCGTTTTTCCATTATTCGGTTCTTTGTTCTCATGGGAGAGCAGCTCACCTGTGTTTTGTGCGCTTCGCATGTCGACGTGCTTGTCTTCCCCGGCTTGTGCGTTTTTTTCGTGGATTAACTTTGTATGCGCATTGGCTCCACCCTGGGAGTTACTTCGGCCGTCACTTTGACGCAGAGTGGGGGTATTCATAGGGTTACCCTCTCTGCCGGCACACCTGCTACTGCATCTGCTGCTATTCAAGCTACCGCTTATGCTGCTACTTATGCTGTTATTTGTGGCGCCGCCGTTCCCCACCTCTACGTCTTCCCTGCCCTTCTCCAGCAGCGGCTCATATATCCTCTTCTTGTGAATGTAGAACAGCTTCATGATTTTCTTTTTCCTCCTGATTGCCTCTTGATCCCTCACATCAATGGTGCAATCGCTCTGCTCCTTCGGTTGCTCCTTTTTCCTGTTTATCTTTCCCACATCAGCGCCTTTTTTATCCCTTTTCTTAAAATAACTACTCAAGCACGGGTATATATAAGACCAGTGTTCCTTGGTAATGCTCTTTGACTTAATATAAATAATGCACAGCACTAAATAAATGGCCACGTAGGCTATAGCATTATACGACGCAGTTAAGCTGTCAAAATTGTTCAGCACTCGATTCCTCATCCTTCCGCAAATATTATTGCTGACCCCCAAAAATACAACTAAACACCCATTGAAAAAAATTAAGAAAAACTTTTTCATTTTGCTAATGGTGGATGCGTGGTTGGGCTGCAGCTCTTCCTTGACCATCCCTCCTCCAATGTGGTTACTCCGTGTAGACAACAAATCATGATCTATGTCCACATCATTTTTGCATTGCTTACTATCAAATTTCACATAATATTTGTCACTTTGTGCATCGTAAAATGTATTGCTATTTCCACCTTCCATTTGTAGTACGTTCGAAGGGCTGCTTCCTTTTTGACATGATTTGTGTCTCCCATTAGGGTTTTGATTTTTTCCTATTCCTGGGTGGCTTCCCTCCAAGGGCGACTCATTATTCTGCATATTCACCCTTTGAATCTTCACGCCAGGAGATTGGTTCTTATTTCCACCAATGTCGGAGCTTTTGGTTCCCACTTGTTCCCAGTAATTGGCCCCTTTTTTTTTACAACCCTGGTGATCCCTCTTCTTCTTTCTTTTATACAAGTATGTCTCGTTAAGAATCTGGGCCGTGGATTGAAATTTTTCTCTTTTAATTTTTTTTAAAAAATTGATCAGAGAAGCATTTTTGTACTCCCACAGTTTTGAAAAAATATCTTCGTACTTCTCTCCCTTGTTTTTTTTATCCCATGCATGTTCTTTTTTTTTTTTTTTTTAAAGGTTGCTTCGCTTTTTTCTTTTTCGGGTGTTCGTTCATCCGTTGGGGGGGTAAATTCTTCGGCGTAAAATGTGCTTACGCTTTTTTGACCATCCGATACTGAGTTAGCTCCTTGCTCATCACCTATTTTACTTGCGCCTTTTTCTGAACAAATAGTATTTGTCTCTTCACTATGCTTGTTTACCTTTTTTTCTTTCTTATTAAATGCGAGTATTTTGTTTCCTTTTTGGTCATGGCTACATTTTTCCCCTGTTTGTAGCTCCTGGCATAGCAATGGTTCAGCTTGCACCTGTTTGGCACAATTTTTTTTTTTTTTTTTCTCCGCTTGTAACAGTGATCTGAGTTTCGGGGTTATTTTCTGTTGGACTTCCTTTCCTTTTATAACACAACTCTTTTTTTTTGCCCCACTTGAGAAAGCAAAATTGCCAACCGTTTGGCAGTTCTTTCCTTGTGACTTCTGCCCTAAAGTATTATTTGGCTCACTTGTCACATTTTCCTTATTTGCCTTATTTTCCATCTTTCCCCTTATTCGCATTTTCCCTTTTGTGTAAACATTTATAGAAAGCTACAAATCCCCCTCCTTTTTCTTTTACCGTTTATGTATACTTTTCCCAGCTTACACATTTTTGTTTTTTTTTTTTTTTTTTTTTTTTTTTTTTTGCCAAAATTTGAAAACTGAATTTAAAACGATAAAAATTAGGTAATATGAAAAATACTGTGACGCACTTGTAGCTCCCCGCAACCCTTTTTCCTGATCGATCTGCTTTTTTTTTTTTTTTTTTTTTTTTTTTTTTTTTTGAAAATTATGTTCATGTGAAATTTTGGCTAGTTGATACTCCCTCCTCTGAATTGCCTTCTCGTCTCTACATTGTAGCTGCTATATCCTGCTGGGTATGAGAAGGAAACAAAAGTGATCGTTGTGTTAAATAAAAAATGGAAATGCGTGGAGTTGTCTCTATGGGAATATTTGGGGATCCAGCAGGTGTGTTGCCCTCACGTTGCCTGCGCGCATCGTTAACGCGCTTTTGTGACTAACTGCAGGGCAAAAAAAAAAGTCAGAAAATACAAAAAGCTCAAAATAGTAAGCCCCCGGGGCATACACTTCTTGTGCAGATTTGCCACAGCGAATGTAGGCCCAAGGAGGGCAAGAAAAATTGCTGTTCCAAATTTTAAAACAGACATGTCAAGTTAGTTTCTATCCCGCATTATGCGCAAAAAGGGGGGGGCAATTCAATTTTCCTTTTCAATTTTTGCCCATCCTTGATTAGTAAAAAAAGAATTAACGGGCGATCAGATCGTAACATAAGTGTCATCTTCACCATGGAATACGAAAGACATGTACACTCCACATGCACTTACGCGTTGACGGACTTGTACACACAATTGCGAAAGAGCAATAGTTATTATCCTCCCCTTTCAACATTCCGCCGTTTTATCATCCTACATTGTACACCACAAAAAAAAAAAAAAAATTAAAGGGGGGGTTGGGAAAACGGAAAATATTTCTCCACGTGCGTTATAATATGTACTTTCTGCAAGTTGGGTACGCGGATTTACGAAACGTTTACACATTTCTCGGAAAAAGTTCATCAGGGCAGTGGGTACAATGAAGACACCACTACCCCATGTGCACTCAACTGTTTGGCGATCGCCCGTTTTGTATCTTCCTTGTGTCCTTCTTTCTCCCCTTTTTCCGTCTCTCCACGTTATTATCCAGCCTTAATGTCTACCCCACTTTCGTAACGCAGTGGTCACCATTTATTGTTGCCATCCACGAAAGTGGCAGTGTAAAAACCTGCTGAATTGCTCAGCCCAGTGGGAGAGAAAGCGACTAGCTTCTGCGCCAATGACAATGAGGGAATTTTTTTAAAGTAAAATTTCATCATCATAAATTTTCAGTGCAAGTGGGTTGCAACAAAAGGGGGGAAGTGACCTGCAAAGCGTATCAATGGTTTGTGTAAATCGAGTGCACCAAGGCATTTGCATGGGGAGCACAACGCATAAGGGCGTTTTTTTCAGATCTTCGATCAGGTAGTTCTACACATGAATAGGCATTAACAATGTGTGCGAAATGCCCCTCCACACGTAAGGTACAAGGAAAGAGATGTACGCATAAGCACGTCTAACACGTCAGTAGTAATAACACTTGTGATAAACACGTGTCAAATTGTTTTCACGCCTTTTACTCTGGCGCACGTACGAAAAGCGGTTGAGACACCGCATCCACAGAAATAAAAAATGGAGGGCCTTGCAACAACTGTTCGTGCAAATTTAAAATAAATTGCCAGAAGGGATAGACATTTCGAATGGTCTTAAAAAGGTTGTCTTTGTGTTTTTTGTTTTTCTTTTTTTCCCCCGATAGAAAAATGTACACATTTGCAGCACGTGCATCATATATGCATGGCGTGCTACGAGTTAATGTCTTCCTTTTTGTTCCCCTTTACAACAGCTACACTGGCGTAAAAACTTCAAAAACAAAAAAAAAAGAAAGAAAGAAAAATCGAAAACACCGCAAAGCCATTTCAAATGTGCCAATTCTTGGGAGCCTGGGAACAAACAAAACTGAGTAGTGCGGCATGGAAGCAAGGCGTGCTTACGTCCAGCACAAGAATACGCAGGAGTGATAACGTGTCCTGTATTGCCACCCCACACCCCAACAAAATAGATAACCAATAATTTGCAGACGTGGCCAAAAAATGATCACAAGGGAGAACCCCGAAAAAAGGGAAAGGGCTCCCAATGATCCTGCCTATATAGAAAAAAAAAAAAAAAAAGGAGACAAAAGTTCAACTCCTCAGGAGGTAAGTATCCAAATGATTTAAAAAGTAGCCTCTACAATATGTGCCTCAATTTTGCATACAGTGACATTTATCAGGACTACATAAACAGATTAAGTATAAATTGTCACAACAATTGTGATTATGATCAAATAAGGAGAAGTACTTTTATACCTAGAGAGGATTTTTTCAAATATTATAATTTCCCCTTTTACGACAACAACTTTGAATTAGAATCAGAACAATTCTATGAGGATGAAATTTGGGGAGATTCTGATGACGATGTTAGTGGTGTAGAGGAGGTGGGAAAGTTTGCTTTGGAGAGATATGATGCTTGGACCTATAAGTCCAGGACTAGTCGAATAAAGAATCTTATACATGGGATACCCGATCGTAAAGGGGGTGTCCTATCAAGCGGGAAAGACAACTATGGGGGGGATGATGGTGATACTGTTTACCGAAGAGACGACAACAATGGCACAGACTCAAAATCGTACACCTCCCAACTCTTCCAACTTATGAGTCAAAGGAAAAATTGCCACCTGGGGATTGACAACTACCACGGCAGTGGCGAGAGCAGGGTGACAAAATTACGCAGGAGTCAAGAACTGTTAAGCGAGTCGATCAGAGGGGATGAAATGGGAGGGGATAAAAAGGGATGCCTCGAAAAACTGAAGACACAAGTTTTCTCATTTTGCAAGAAAATATATGACCCCAGGGATCCGTCCTTCATGTCCAATTTCAACATTTACTTTTTAAACTACCACGATATTAGTAAGAAGAAAATAAAGAACGCTTTTAATGAGGACTACATGTACATGGTGCAGAATTTGGCAGAGGCTCAGGGGGACCCCCTCGTTGGACGATATTACAAGGGCGTTCACATGGTACAGAAGAAACAAGTGCAGAATCGTGAGACGCACCCCAACGGGTGCGCACAGATTAAATGGAGGGAGGATCACTTCAAAGAAGAAGAACAAATACACGGACAGGTGAGGCACAGTGTGGACGAATTGGAAGATACGAAACACCAGAACTCGTCGCAAAGTAGCCAAAAAGGAGAAAAGGGAACAAGTAGCGCAACCTCAAATGGGTTCAGTGAACAGTGCGGGATGGAACACAAAGCGAAAAGACATGGAAGAAGGGTTGACAAAAAAGTGCGGTTAAGCGGAAATTGGGATAAAACCCCAGGCGCACAAGACAAAACAGCCAATTCGAGAGAACTCCAAAGAAGTGCTAGCAATAATATGAAACGACTCTGTTCAGAAGAAATTGAGATATATTTTAAAAAAGTTTTAAAAAACGAAATTATAAATTTTAATCAAAAAAGAATTAATAAGCGAGACAGATGGAGTTCTCTGTGTCAGTTTGTTTGTTCGTGCATAGGTGCCTCGCTAACAGCGCAGTGCTACTTAGACTTACCTCCAATCAGCTCGTCCCTCGATTATGTTCTTCTTTTGTTGTTGCTCCTGTTCTGCTACCTATTTATCGGTTTGCCAATTCTTCAAATGGAATATGCCCTTGGTCAACTATCACAAGGGTGCATAATCAATGGCTTAAGCTTCTTAAAAAAAAAGTACAGAGGAGTGGCAATCGCTTCGTTGATCATATCTTTTTGTATATTGTCAAGAAGTGCTCATGACACAGTGGACACTGCAATTGTTGTTGTGACCTCGGCGAAAAAAACTTTGCCTTGGAATTTGAATCAATGTGAAGGGATCCCACTCAAGGGGGACTGCCTCCGGAACGGGAAATGCATATGGGTCACTGCTAGAACGGAAAGGAATGACACCTTTAGGGGGAATTTTCCCCAAAATATATTCTATCCGGACCAACGGTTTGGCATTTTAGATACACAAATGAGAAGTGAAAGGAATGGGTTCATCTTGACTGAAATTTCTCCAGCAGGGGATTACTGTACATCGGATGCCACTACAGAGTGGCACTATTTCTTCACCAAAGAAGTAAAATTAGTTTGGAAAATCGGGGCCGTCTTCCTAATCACACTCGCTTTGTATTTCCTGCTAAGGGTGGAGGGCATGTGTCTAACTCAATGCCTGCAGTATACATTTTTCCTCTTCTTCCTTATAGCCCTTTTTCAAATATTTGTTCTGTCCTACGAATTGAAGTCAAATAGGTGGGTTCCCATGAATGGAGCGGCCGGGGACCATCCTAAGAATGGCCATACAAATGGCAGTATCTTTTTCAGCACCAAATATTTCCTTTACCTAAATTTCGAAGTAATAGGAAAAGTATGTACCCTGGTGTTGATGTCTCTAAATTGTAGTACAGGAATTAACTACCTGTTTTCTTCCTACAGCAATATTGGGGATAACCTTTTTGTGTCTGCGTGGTATGTTGTGTTGGGCTCCTTCTTCGGGATCGGTGTACACATTGTACATTACTACGTGTGTGTGCAACTGCTGAGTAGTGTTCTCACTGGGAGAGGAACTGTGGAGGTAATGATACCACCCAGGTATGATGGATCAATGGGGGGAATTTGCTCTCTTCATGATTTGTTTTCTAAAACAGGAGACCCAATTAACAATTTCATCGTTTATATGGCTTCGCTTACAAGAGTGAAATTCCAAAACATGATGAGCTTCACCTACTTCCTGTGTTCCTTGCTGGCCTTGCTCACATCCTCTGCTCTCCATTTGAAGGGCATAATACTGGTGCTAAAGGAGAGTAGAAAGTTTAAAGGTATCAAAAAAAAGGTGATCACCCTGTTTGTAATTGTGGTGTATTTCCTTTGGGTTTGTTTTTATTTGTCTCCTTGTGGATACAACACAAATTTAATTATGAAATATGCGACGTCCAGTTGTGTGTACCTGTTTGTCGTCTTTGCTCAAGTGGTTTGCGTTACATGGACGTATGCGTCTGAACGAGGGAAACGGATAATAAGTCGATCCCCACCCAAAAAAAAAGAGCATTCTTTTTTGTGTCAACCAACATTCTGCCTCTTCATTGTGGTGTGGGTACTGCCACCAGTCATGTTATACCTCCACAGGCAATTTTTCCCCAATTTTTTTTTTCTCTCATTTGTGTTTCCCCTACTGGTGAGCACACTCCTGTTTGTGTGTGTGAATGCCTTTTTTATTTTCAGTACCAATTTGAAGGTTAGACTGCGGGAGAAGCTCTACTTTTTGTACATTTTTAACGTGGACACTTTGCGAACTAGGCTGAACAAAATTTTGTATGGAAGAAGGAGGACCTACGATTTGGAAAAAAGGGAGGAACACCCACTTGCACTTTTCCTCTTTCAAAAGTTGACAATTCATTGGTGTGTCTTAACGAAGTTTTTCATCTCCCAGATTTTACTGACCATCGTTCTGAGCAACGTCCTGTACAATGTTCATTTTTGCCTCGACAGGGGTATCACAGCTGTGGGGTCTCACTCCTCTAATCAGTATAGGCGCTTCGCACAGGACCCACCATCTGTCCATTCCTACCTACGGACCGCCTCTAACGATAAACATGGATTTGCCAATTTGAATGCCTTTTCAAGTGGAGCGTCAATCGTGGGGGGAACAAGTATGAAAGGGGGAATCACCTCAGAGCAGACATATCAACATGTATTCACAAACGCTGCACCAAAGGGAGGAGCAAACAAAATGAAGGACACCAAATCGGACACGTCATGTGGGGCCTGCGCACACCTGACCGCTATGATAGCAACCGTATTGCTCACCCTGTCCATTTCGCTGTTCACCTTTGTAAGGCCAAATAAAATGAACTGCCTCGCATGTGCCCCCACCAACACCTGGACCATTAGCGACGTGGACTTCAAACGAATGAACCCTGCGAACTATGCATACACAAGACCCATATATTTTTTTGAAGAAATTTTTCCCATCGAGAGAATTATGCCTTGCTATGTCTGGACGCACATAAACAAACACATTGAGAAGGCCAAACCAGTTACATCATTAGACGGGGATGACCAAACGGAAGAAACGATATATGACAAGAGCTTTTCTTACTTAAACAAAAATGACTTTGAAAATTATATCTTCAATTTAATCGATCGAGGATCCAAATTGAGCCACTTTTCAGGGATAAAAGGGCAGCACTAGATTTTTTTTTTTTTTTTTTTTTTTTTTTGTCTTCCCGATATACATGTGCCGCCAACCCCCCCATAGGTGCCCAAACAGCTGTTCAGTGTTTTCAAAAAAGAAACATATGTGTTACTAAAACAAAAAAATTAAAATAAAAAAATACACAACACACATATCGTGTGCAACAAAAAAGGGAACAAATGCGAAAGAGGAAATTCACTTGAGCGGATTCATGCCTAAGTCCTTCCTGATTTTGTTCCATCGTTCTACAGACAAGGCATCCTTTTTGTTGTCCTCGACATCCGAATCGTCTTTTTTGGTCCGTTCTTTTTCCTGCTTTTTCTTTTTCTTCTTGTCTTTTTCCGTCCGTTCCTTTTTTTTTCTCTTCTCTTCCTCCGAGTCTTCACGCTCGAATCGCCTCTTCTTCTCCCTCCTGCGAGACTCGGGCGATTCACTCGTGGAGTAGCTTCCTCGCCTTTCTAAAGAGCGTCTTTTTTTTGTATGCCTCCTGTGTTCAGCTAGTTTGTGTTCTCGCCTTTTTGTTCTGTCCCTATCACGCTCGCGGGAGAAGCTTCGATCCCTGCCCCGATCTCGGCTACGGTCCCTATCTCTATCATGATCGCGGCTCCGGCTTCTACCCCTCCCTCTGTCTCTGCTCCTGCGTCTACCTCTCTCCCAATATGCAGTTCTCTCTTTCCTTTTGCCCCTCTCTATATGACCACCCTCCCCCGAACCGTAGGCACTACTGGGGGTGTTATCTCTCCCTCGCCCCTTGTCCCCCTTGTCAAGGGTACCACCGGGGGGATCATCCCCTCCTGCTTGATTGTCAAACAGTTCATTGCACGAGGAAACATTTAGCAACTCTTTATAGTAGTCCAAATTAACTTTCTCTAGCAAATTATTATCCTCCAATACTTGTCTTTTTGTGAGGCTAGGAAAATCAACGTCCAAAAAATTATTCATAACTAAACAGTTGTCCACAAACACATCCATGTAAATTTTCTCAAAGGTGCCATTCTGCAACCTGATTCTCATTTTCCTGTAATCAAATAAAATGGGTTCTAAGTGACGATATATTTCTAGGCTCTTTCCAATCAGTCTAAGGTAGAAAATACCCAGAGCTCTTAAATAAATGAATTCTTCATTTGTTATATACTCGTATATTATATCTTTGTCTGGTTGGATTTGCAGCAATTTCAACACTAAGCAGAGGAACCGAGTTGGCTTCCTGTTTCCCCCGTAGGTTCCTCCAACATATTTTAGGTTCACCGCCTGGTCGATAATCGATTCAGCTGCAAAGGGGGAAAGACAAAAAAAAAGAAAAAGGGGACACACGTGTATGTGGGGAACAGCAGAATACGTGCACGCACTTGCAAGTTCGCATGATAGCGCTGGGCCACACCCGGTTGGGGTCTGTTCCCTCCTATCACTTGACGAAGGAAGGTACCATATAAATGGTTGCAACGTACAAGTGGATTAAGGCAAGCACGTAATTAAAACTTACATGTCAGGGCAAAGCACTTCTCCTTCCAGTAGGGGCTTTCATATATTTTGCTTCGTATTATATTCGATATTAGGTACTGCGGATTGGAGCCAAAGATTTTGATGGCGCTCACGTCCGTGCGGTTGGCCATTTGATCTGAGTTCTTTGTCTCTACGTAGTCCCCCTAGATAGAAAGCACACGTCATTATGCGCAACTATGTCAGATATGCAACAAAAAAAAAAAAAAAGGGGGGGGGCTAACACAGTTGTATACTAAGCTAGGGTAGGGTTAACATTGGGTTGGTAAGATGGGGAGATGATGGGTGGCATTTGTAACCATTGGAATACTGCTTCTGTTCCTCATTCTATGCGGCGTCGCATTGGTACTACATGTATATTATATATACTTGTAAACGGGTTAATTTAGGAGATTTCTGTACCTCCGGTGAAGAATCCCGCGTATAGCGTTTTTCCTTAGCTTCATTTTACCGTTATCATTTTTACATGAGCCATTCATCGCGTTGTATGCGTCGCAATCTTTATCAGGTCGTTTTTTTTTTTTTTTTTTTAATACCTTTTGCACGCCCCCTATTTTTTAGCGCGGCTTATTCTGTGAAAAAAAAAAAAAAAAAAAAAAAAAAAAAAAACTCTGTTTCCCACGTTGGAGTTGCCAAGCAAGGTAGCCATGAGCAGTAGGCACACGACCCACCTATGCATATAAGCATATGTACGACATGCACATTGTTTGTACCTTCGTTGGGGTATGTTTTTTCTCGGTAGGTACATAAAATCCAACTAGGGAAATTTCCCCAACTATTGTTGAAAAGGCTCACACGCCTCTCACCAGTGTAAATATGCTTCGCCTTGGTTGGATGTGCAACCCCCGGGCACGGTTACACGTATATGCAATGTCGTCCCCTAAATATGTGATACGTACATCACGTGGCACTTCAAACTAATATCGTTTGGGAAAAGTGTGGGGAGGGTCCTAAGTTTTACACCTGCGTGCATCACCTTAATGAACAGAACAACTGTGGGGGGAATACTAGTCCCCCCCTATGCGCTTATTAGAAGGTGGTTTTCCAACATGTACTCTCCCAGTGTGAAGAGAAACATACCAGAGTACATAGACTTTGAAACTTTTTTCCCCAAAAAGGAAATCAAACCAGATGTTTTGACCGCCTTCACGATGGCAAAGCAACAGAGGCTAGAAAAACTTTTGGAAAATAATCCCCTAGTATTGTACAAAGGGAGAGTCCTGAAAAATTTATCATGCCCTAGGATCAAAAATTCAGGGAGGAATAATGTAGGCAAAATTACAACACGACATAGAGGAGGGGGACATGTACAAAGGTTAAGATTTATTGACTTTAAAAGATCACGGAAGGATATATATAGTACTGTATTAAGAATAGAATACGACCCATCTAGAAGTGCCCATATAGCGTTAGTTCAGTATGAGGACGGAGTACTGTCCTACATGTTGGCTCCCCTTTTGTTAAGGCCTGGAGATAAAATCATTGCAAGCAAATATGCAAATATCAACCCTGGGAATTCTTTACCTTTGAAAAATATCCCTGTGGGAACTATTATTCACAATCTTGAAATGAGACCAGGGGCAGGTGGACAATTAATACGAGCAGCTGGTACTTATGCCACTGTACTGAGTAAGGACAGCCAATATGCCACGATAAAATTGAAGTCAACAGAAATTCGAAAATTCCCACTTGAATGTTGGGCGACTGTTGGTCAGGTATCTAACTTGGAAAGACATATGCGCATTTTAGGCAAAGCGGGAGTCAACAGATGGCTTGGCAAAAGGCCAGTTGTCAGGGGAGTTGCCATGAACCCTTCCAAACATCCGCATGGTGGAGGCACCAGTAAGAAACACACCAAAAGACCAAAGTGCTCTCTCTGGGGAAAATGCAGAGATGGGTTTAAGACACGAAGTAAAAAGAAGCCACTGGGGTTAATCATCAGGAGGAATATTTGTGGCCGCTTGCAGAAGAAGTACGGTGTTACAGTGTGATGTGAAGTTTTGGTGGAACCCTACGCGGGGTATGATTCGCGTGGTTGTATATGAAATACAAGGTCACCTCATGCGTGTGCACATGGGACCCAGGTTGAAAAGAAGCGCTCTGGGAAACGTGTCATAAGGGGTGGCAAAATTGGACGATCCAGTTCCGCACGATTGAACAGATCTCCATTTTTGTACGTCTTCCTTTTTGTGCATTGGTAGACGGGTATCCCTGTGTACGTTTCGTTTCATAAATAGTAAGAAAATGGCCGTCTAATTGGCACAAAAAAAAAACACTTATCAGATGGCGTGCCTATTGTGCAGAAAGCCTTGCTCTGACGCGTGACGCACACACACAGGAGGCGGGGAGGATCCACACATTTGGAAAAGTTCTTAGGTCTTGTTTAGAGGAACTCATCGCAGCAGTATGCAACACAAGGAGTATCCGCTCGGTGGGCCATGATTTTCGCAGCTACTCTCCAGCGAAATATGCCCAAGGGATATTTTTTTTTTTTACGTACCAGTTCAAGCACAACATGATTTTGCTTTTTTTTTTTTTTTTTTTTCTCCCGTATCAAACTACCGATGTGAATAAAAAAAAAAAAAATAAATAAAATAGTCGTTCATGTGGAATATGCAGATTTTACGTTTTTTCCCACTTGAACACTTCGTTCCCTTTTCCTCATGCATAAAACGCATGTTACACGAACATGAAATAACCCTTTTTTTTTGTGTGTGTTTCAAAATGATAAACGTAAAACTTTGCTTTTCTGGGAAACAACCAAAAAAAAAGTGTTGCCTTTTTTGGCACCACCTTTTTGCATAAAACATAAGGCGGAATGAATTTGTTTTAATTGTGGTGAACACTTCCTCATGCATAGTAGTACGTATACATGATGCTGCAAAGTGCATGTTTGCATGTCAGTGTGGGGACTGCGCGAAGTTAGTTTCGTATCGCATGGGCGAACAGGTTGTATTACGCGCATGCTTTAGCGCATTTTTATTTTTTTTCATACGCATGCCCACACTTCAAAAGTGGCCACTTCGTTGGGACACCCCTTTAGGCGATCAAAAAAGCGAACATGATGTACATTTTTTTTAAATTGTAAAAAATTACAACGGAAAATTTTGTGATAACCCAATGAGCAAGGGAAAAAAAAAAAAAAAAAAAAAAAAAAGTGAAATAGCATTTTATTAACTTCTTCGTTTGTCCTGTTTAACCGCATTTTCATTTTCATGTTCACGCGCAAGTGGACACTCATCTGAGCATATGTGCATTTATAAAGCGTATATACATACATAAGGTTGGGGGGGGGGACATTATTTTGGGCGGAAATGCCACGTCGGTGACATGCGTTACGCCCATGAAGGGAAAATATGCAAAGCGCGTTTAACGCACACGTGGATGAGCGGGGCCGATTTAATTTCCTGCCACGTGTGTATTACTTGAGGAGAAGAAAACAGCACACACATATGAATACGCACATATGTGTATGACATGGCATGTTGTAAACGTATGTATACATAATACATACAGACCAAGCAGATATGTAACAAAACGCCAAGATTTGTTCCTTTTTTTTTTTTTTTTTTTTGCCAAGTGGTATCCTTTAATCTCGTAAAAAATGCCGATAACCTTTTCCCCATTTTAACATCATTTTTTTTCCAATTTGTTTCAATTTTTTTTACATTTTTTTTTACATTCTTTTTTCGAATTTTTTCATTTTTTGTTCACGCGTCTGCCTTATACCCTTGCGGAACAGTTTTCACGAATTACACAATTTTTACTTTATATATATAAGTTTTTTTTTTTTTTTTTTTTTTTTTCCTCAGTTTTAGCC